TCTCATTAATATGAAAGTATATATGATTCGTAAACATGTTCCATTGTTTAATTCTGATCATTGTATTATTCGTGTTCTGCTTAAGGCATATGACAAACTTGAAAAGAGTACACTCTGATTTCAAACAAAGAAAGTTAAATACAGGAATTGCTCAGAATAAAATATCCATGATCTGCAAAAAAACATGCTGGCATTTATTCACAAATGACTCAATGACAAACTTTGTTGATGTTTGTTATGCCACTGAATCTATTTTTGTAAGTTTTGATCGACCTATATCTTCACAATTAAAACGATTACGAAGGAAAAAATATAAAAAGATGTGCAAGGAGCTGTGATACGAGTATATTAAGCCATATCAGTTCGCTTACGAGACTATACCCCTGCCTTTGATTTTGTCCCAACACCACAACTACTAAACACGTTTGCCAGCGTCAATACTACTAGCTTGACAACTGACTGGTTATGCTCTTATCTCTGTGGAAGAAAACAGTACACTGTGCCGACAGGAAAGTGTTCTACATCCTTACTCACTCAAAAAAGTATGTCTCAAGGAGCTGTCCTTCCCCCCTTTTTTCCGTCATCTACAAAAGCACGTTCATTAATTATGAGAACGATCTAACTGTATGTACGTCAATTTCTGACTCTTGAGATCCTTTTGCAATATGTTTTTGTCGCTCATTGAACCGTAGCCTGTTTCTAATGGTCCCACACTTAATGCTTCTGAATGTCAAGCTGTTAATTTCGTCTTGGACATGAGCAGCACTTAAAGACCCGATTGTGATCCTACAAAGTTTGTACTACTGAGGATTTTATAATAAAGTGTCAAAGGTCATTTATCTTGGCGTAACTTTTTCCTTTGGTATCTCTTCGCCTTCTTAGGTTTTATTGATATCAAAGAAAGTTTCTCGTTTAACTTATTATATATTTACTTTTACGACTCGTGAATCCTTGGTTATTACCAATTCATCTTTTTTATTCTCCATTATTCTTTACCGGGCTTTTGAGGAAAGATTTTTCTGTTTTGCAAAGAATGCTTAAGGTGATTCGCATGGTGTGTAGTGAATCTTTTGAAGTCATCATGAATATGGTTGAGGATAGAAATTTAAAATCTTGCGAACTCCTAGCAAATGCTATCTTATCAAATACTAACCATCCAATTTAGTTACAACTTTCTCCTTTTGTATTTCCTCGTAGAACGAGGAGCTAATACTTTAGCATCCATGTACGCAAGCAAAGGCATAAAAGTCTTACAATATCTTGTCTGAAAGTTATTTGTAACTTCCAAAGTCATGATATACATGCATTGCATCTTATGAATAAAGTAGATATAAATGGAATTGATACACAACTTTTGAAATATCTTAACACCAGTTATTTTTTGAATGTATTTAGACAGAATGCGTACATAATATGACACTAGATATATGCAGTAACGAATTCAATCTCATCTCACTGAAACAGATTCCAAAGGCTATTATTCTTGTTTTATTTATGCAACGTTTTTGGAAAAAATCAAAATGACCATTAACAGTGGGATGAGAAATCAGTCAAAAATTGCTATACTGTTGTTACACTCGGTTCCTTACTGTTCAGTATTAAGGTTTAAAATGTATACATTATATGTAATTTTAATTGCAATTAAAAATTAAGAAATGAATTATAAGAATAAAAGTGTTTAAACATATCTTTTGTGATTAAATTAAGTAACTATGTTGATGTCTATGCTTTCTCTCACTTCATAACCCTCTTTACAGTCAAAATGGCACGACATATTTGGAAGACCAAGAGATCCCTTATATGACTGGATGGGATTTATGGTCTAATGTTGTTGGGTTGGTAGTAATTATGATTGCATTTTACATTCTTTGTTATATTCGACTTCGACTACTCAATAAATACAAGTAGTCTAACAGGCAAATATGGATAATTTGTTGATGCACGTTAACTGGGACAACTTAGCTCGCGACAGTATTTATGCAAACATAGATGACCAGGACAAAGGGGTATGTAAACCTCAAAATTAATCTACACAATTTTAACCTTTTCTGATGGTGCGTCGCGTTGGATAATCTATTTACAAGCTACTTTATGAAAGAAGAAAGAAAAAAAACCGGTTTTGGGTATAAACTTCAATCTGTCAACACACAAGACCCTATAATTTGTACATAAATAACATTGGTGACCTAGTTAAGTTGTATTTTATTGAAAAAGTCTATTTTTATGATACACATCTCTTGTTTTATTTTCCATAAAAGCGTATATTTTGAAAAATAAAGGTTGTACCGAGGTTAATTTTCATTTACCAGCTCATTACTATAAGTGATTTAGAGAAGAAACGAATAAGACAACCATTATTTCTTAAAGTTACGACAGGCTACTACATTATTAAAGTTGTTGACGAATTAACCAATACCTGGGATGTAGAATAAAACATATTTCAATATACTGAAATAGTAACCACTTGAAAGATCGAGAAATTGTTCAATCTTATGCGGACTGAGCGGAACAACAGTTATGATGGAGATCCGTGTATCACTCTAAGCGGTTAATGTTGTCTAGGAAGCTAATAAAAACACCCAAATAGTTCATGATGAAGGTAATCGTGAAGAGGATGGAATAAATAATCACAAGAAATCGAAAATATGTAGTACCAAAGGTTAAAAGAACATAAACTGGTAATTAGATGACAAACAAGGATTGGTAACAGGAAATAAAATGAAAAGCAATAAGACAGACGTAAGATAAATGAACTCAATCTTAAATGGAGCTGTAGTAAAGGGACAAATCAAAGTGGTAAATGTTTGGCAATCGAAAAGTCTGTGTGATGACGGCGATAGTGAAAGGTACTTTTGTGTACGGATCTAACTCTAGGTCATGTGTTACTGACACTTATTTGGAAGATGGTTGAGACAGACATATACCTCTTAATGCTTCTAGGTTCATCATGTAAAAGGCTCAAAGAATGATCCAGTAACTGAGTATTCGTAACTGACTGGATGGCATAATGTAGTCATTGTTTCAGTATTACTAAATAAACTACGTTTAAGGGTGTGGCCCAAAGGGAAATGTTACTCAGCGATCAACCCACATACATGGTCCTAAAAAAGCCTTTGTACACTTATGTGGCTGTTCCCTGAACATTTCCCACAATATTACAGTATATTCGTGAGAAGACAGTCAGCATGAAATTCTCCAGACAGCAACCTCGTGTAACGATTTGCAGGGAATTAATCAGCAAGGACATCCGTGAATCCTATATAAGCTTCAGTCATACCAACAAAAGTAAAATGACCTGTAGTTTAAATGCTATTCACAACAAGATCCACGTACAAAATGATCTATCTTCGTAGATATAACACTCCCGTCTAGGACTTAAGGACTGAGAGTAACGTAAGTGGACTGTAAATCGGATGTTGGCATAACCTATAGTGGAACAATGTGTTACCATTATTCATAGTAAAATCTGGAGTGTTTTATCCATGTAATAAGTAATGGTTTAAATAAAGCTGTAGATTGTTGAAGTGAAAGACAGGTCACCAACTCTACAAAATACTAGTTATACGGTCGATAAAATTAATTACCAGTGGGCCTCAGGATATTACTTTATCTTGTCAGCTAAGTACAATCCTGATGACTTTGAGATTATCGAAACGAGATCCGAGAAAGTCTACCTTAGTGACACAATAAGCATTGACAGTGCATTTATTCTAAGGAAGTCTACAGCATAATTGGAGTGAGGATCTAAGACTCAGTAGCTTGATTTGCTGGATATCTTACTGGTCAAATTAAAGGACAAACAGAATTTAATGAAAATTAGTTTGTTAGTTCATCAATATACATTCCTCTACAGACAAATATAGCACGACAAACGGTCAACGTGAAACAGATACATTTATGTACTTTGAATAAACAGATATTGATAACACTAACGATGAGACCTAGTAAATTCCGAGATATCAGAAGAACGTGAATGACTGATGATTATAATACTCCTGTGTTCAAACATGATAGAATACTTATCATTTTATTAAGAGTGCGTCATGCAGTAAGTCGTCTGGAAGTATGGTCACTTCTGATGTTCAGAAGAACGATGAAAGCTTTCTGATTGAACTTACTATCTCAGAGAACGAAATTCGTTGAAATCACTCATCTGAGTTGCAAATTTCTATAACACACATAGTTATTTTATATTGTTTTCATTAACGAAATATTTCAACGTACGTATGTTGGGTTCGACTTCGTTTACATAGCTTAGGCGGTTTACAACTGATTATTAATAAAATCGTGGTTAACCGATTTATTAATGCCGTAAGAATAAATGTTACACCTAAAAGGAAACAAGTGATTACTAAGTGAGTCTGTTTAATTCATAAAACTTAGTAGAGGAATATGGGACAGACTATACCACACTGTCCATATGACGACAAAAACATAATCTGAATCTGGAATCCAACAGTTGAAATTCGATTGCTTAGGCTACTGAGCAATTGATGACATGTTTAACTAAACTTCACTGTTACTGTGACCACAAACGATTGCTTCCAGCCATAATAGCCAAAGGGTGCACCCAAGCCTTAGCAAAATGTATTCTTTTTTGAAGCGATGCAGTGCGGGAGGAAGATAAGGCTGGAATTCAACTTGCAGATATTTCAGGGATCGACTTCATACTCTGATAGAAGTTACTGAGTTACAACTTCAGATCAGCAACTTTTAGGTCCAAGTTATACATACATGATGTATTTAGAAGGACAAAATAAACTAAGTGAGCGCTTCTTAGCGGCCATCTTCTGTTTAATTAGTATAATTATTATTTTAAATGTCATATTTGATTCATCAACGACTAATAATATAGAATATTTAACTGATATGCTAATACTATTGTACCTTTTTCATCACGTTTAAATATGTTGTGATCTGTTGTTTGGTGTATCTTAGCTTATTGGTTGAGATGCTGTGTGTTATAAAATTTTGAAGTCTGGCCACTATATACAGAAATTAACAGTGATATAATATTTATTATGCAGAAAAAATTTACAAGGAATTTTACAATGGACTTATTCACCCTCGTTGACCAACATGTTTGGAATTCCGTTTGAGATGGTAAATTCTCGACCAGTTTCTGGGCAAATCAGTACACCCTCCATTACGTCGACTTCAAGAAGTGCTCGATGTGCCAATTTTAAGAATTCTTCGTTTTCCGAATAATTAACCGGGACTTCTTCTGGCAAACAAGGAATGTATTCTTCACCAATCTGTTAAAAAATTATACAGAATAGACCAATTACTTCATCTGCTACTGACTTCACAACAGACCACTCCACTTTTGGAATCAAACGGGCAACTGATGCAGGGTCATAATCAACTGTTGATACCTTTAATGTGTTGGCCTGAAAATATTAACTGCGAGAAGTGGTAACTGACTTTCAATTTTAGTGGATATCCCACTTTCACAGACTTTAAGACACGAGAAGTAAGTATGTTGTGCAGAAAAAGCTTCATCCTAACTGCAAGCCAGCAAATAAAGTTATTTCTTCGGAAATATTGATCTTCAAAACGAGTACGCAATCTGGAGAACAAAAGGAATATATAAACGCATGTCAGTACTGAGTAGTTAGATGGAGAGTACAGTCCACGGGATCTAAGTTCTGAATAGCACAACAAATAGTCAACTGTCTTACAAGTAATTACTTAGTCAGACTAGCTTCATAGTCAGTTGTGACGGTGTACAGTGGTAAGACTGAGTACTTATTCATCAGTTATTCGCAACGGATGTAAAGCTTGGGACAAGTGTGTACCAGTCCTTATTCCCTAATCAACACAATGAAGTGAAATTTACGAGATGAATGTAAGAAAATTCGAGTAGTATAAAGACGGTGATAGTGCAAAAGACCAAACATTAAAAATACGGGTCTAAAATAAAGCAATCTCCTTCGGTCTGGGAACCCGGGCAGTATCATAGCCCAGACACAAATCAAGTGACTTGTGTGGTGTATATGTATTCGGTGCTCCTTCATACCAATATTTATGTGTTCAAATAAGTAAGTAAAACAAGGTAGAGAAGAAGAGATGCTGAAGAGGAAAATTATTTAACGTCTTTAAACGCTGATTTCGCAAACACTGAACAAGTAGTCAGGACTTAACAAGGCTCAGAATGACAATTAATGGTTATAACTGTCGATGTCAAGTATCTATTCAGACACCCAACCTTCTTCGAACCCACTACGATCTGACCCAGTAAAGTAAGCCTTGAAATATGACACCCCTAAATGCTTCAATGAGTGAGACTATAACGTATGAATGATGTCTAAGAGGTACCAAAGTGGCCAAGAGAAACTTCAGTCACTGACATGTCAAAACAAGGATATGAGCTAGTGTAAGGAGTAATGAACAGAAATAACAGTTCGGAATTCTGGTTAAAGAGAGTAAGGACTGGGATCATAAGCTGAAATCAGCTATGATGCTAAAACGCTGTTGAGTCATATTGTAGCGGGTTTAAAAACTTGAATCATTTACTTTTAATCCCGATTTTCAGATCATGTCAATTAGAAACCTGTGTCACCCCATTTATTGTTTTTCTTATTGTGCGTTTCGTGGATCACTGGCTCACTATTTCATCTTGTTCTCAATCCCAACATTTCTCATGCATGCCCCCTAATACCCACAATCCCTACAAGAAAGACACGAAGCGCTACGATGCGTATAGGCGAGATTCTCAATAAAATCGAGTGCTGTTGCCTTTATTCTGACTGGTTTGTTCAGCATTTATAGCCCCGCCGAATCCCCGATAAAGCATAAAGTAAATCTCTCCAAGTCAAATAACAAGCGAGTTACAGTGATTAGAGTATGGTTAATAACATTCCGGACGAACCAAAAGGACTCTAATGAAATAAACGAAAAGTTTATCCGACCCTAGCAACTTGGTATGCCCACATTGTAAATGCAACAACAGCCTTGAGACCACAAAAAACGCGCTCAGTAAGTTCAACTGTCCAACATTTTTCCTGAACCAAATGGTTCAAATGGTTGTGGACGGAATAGAAGAAGCTTTCGCTTAACAGGCTTCCGTGTCTAGTAGCAGGGGATCACCAAATCCTCCAGGCAGGAACCTAGGTATGTTAACAATAAAAGAGGAAAAGAAATTGTTAAATCATAGTGTGATGCTGTCCTTGGTTCTTAAGAATAGGTCAAGTTGCCTCTTGAAGGACTCCTGAGAAGTCGCTTGGACTAGCTCGGCCGGCAGCGAATTCCAGCTTTTGACAACTCTTAAGGAGTAGAAGTTGTGTCTACATTCCGTCTTGCTATGTTGTGTTTCCAGTTTCTGGGTGTTACGCCTTAGGTTATTATTCGAACTAAGCTTAAGTAGGTGTTTAAGAGGATGTCCAGAAGTGTTAAGAATACTATAAGCCATTAATAAATCACCTCTAAGACGCCTATATTCTAGTGGGTAAAGGTCTAGTGAACGGAGGCGTTCTTCGTAAGGCCTAGATTTGAGTCCTCGAACTGATTTCGTGGCTCGCCGTTGGATACGCTCCAAAGTGACCTTGTCCTTTTGGAGTGAGGGGGGAGTACTATATTTCCGTACTCTAAATGGGGACGGATGAAACTATTGAAAATTGTGTGGAAAGTTCTTCCGTCAAACTGGCCAAAAATGCGCCTCAACGTTACCGGTGCAAGGTTTGCTCGGAAGGCATTTTTGTCACAGTTAGCGTAAGACTTTAAGTCATGGGGCACCAGGACTCCTAAATCTTTTTCGACTTGGGATACTACTAGAGAGGAGTTTCCTAAGTTGTAACTGTAGTTTGCAACATGTCGCAGATGGACTACTTTACACTTTGAAGTGTTAAAGGTAAGTCCGTTATCGTCTGCCCAACTTTGAAGTCGCGTCAGATCCTCCTGAAGTGCCTGTGTATCGTCTTGGTTGCGTATCTCTCTCCAAAGTTTCACGTCGTCGGCAAAAAGTAATAAGTCTGACGTTACCTGTTGAGGAAGATCATTTATGTAGATCAAGAAGAGAAGAGGCCCTAGTACTGAGCCCTGGGGGACCCCACTAGGACATTCCATAGCCTGAGATAAAGTGAAATTAACCCTAACCTTAAAGTGTCGATTTTTTAGGTATGAAGTAAGCCAATCGATTAGAGGTGGTTTGATACCTAGTCGTTTGAGCTTGTTGATAAGACACAAGTGGTTAACCTTATCAAAAGCTTTTGAGAAATCAAGGTAAATGACATCAACCTTTCCCTTGCAATCGAGGATGCTTGTCCATCTGTCCACCGCAGTCAGCAGGTTGGTTGTACAAGAGTAACCCTTCCTGAAACCATGCTGTTGGGGTGAGAAGAAATTTAAGGACAGTAGATAGTCATTTAAATCGTCGCATATCAGGGACTCCATGAGTTTTGAAGGTAATGACAGAAGCGCCACCGGCCGATAACTTGAAGGTTCATTGCGTCGACCACCTTTGAAAATTGGTGTGATGTGAGCCAACTTCCAATTTTCCGGTAATTTGCCTCGGCTAAGCGAGTGTGAAAACATCACGCTAAGCGGCGTTGCCAGGATTGAGGCTGCCTCCCTCAGTATGGCAGGATGAACCATATCCGGGCCAGGAGAAGTGTCAAGTCTTAAGTGCTGCAATTTCCGGAACACCAAGTCAGCGCTTAGGTCCACTTCAGAAAGTCCTGTGGAATTGCAAATGAAGCTGTCGTCAATAAAGTTGATGTCAGCTGGTTGAAATGTTTGAGAGTAATGTGCCGCCAGAAGGTTAGCGGCGTCGCCATCGTTGTTGGTCGGGCCGTTAAGACCTAGCAGTTGAGAAACTCCAGTTTTGGCTTGACGAAGAGAGGCTGCATAACGGAATAGGCTTCTAGGGTTAGAGGCGAATTTGTCCATAAGCTTTGTTTGGTACTGAAGCCTGTCTTCTCTTATAGCCTTCGTGCATATGTTCCTGATGTGTTTGTATTGCCTATACGCTCCATCGTTATTAGTTCGTTTGTATTCCGCCCAACAGTGCCGTTTGCAGCTTAGCAGGCGAAGGGTACGGTTCTTGATTACTGTAGGTGGCTTACAGCTTTTGGGAACCGTTTGAGGAACTGAATGGTCTGTAGCACATAAGAGCGTGTGCAGTAAGAAGTCCCAATGACCATCCACATCAAGTTGAGGGTGAACATCCCAAACCACCTGTTGTAGATAGTCATGTAGAGCTGGCACATTCAGCCGTTTAAAATTCCAACGCAAATTATTGTTGGGATACCTTAGCTTAGTTTTGATGACAAAACTGAAGGCTATGACGGCATGATCGCTCTTTGCCAGAGGAGCCAGGATTGAGAGGTTGTCGACTAGGAATTCATCGTTAGTGAATACACAGTCTAAGCGCGATGGTGTCTGACTGTTTCTCCAACGAGTTGCCGACCTCACATTTTCATATAAGCCCAAGTCATCGATGAGGTTGAAGAACCGAGCTTCAGTTGAGTTGTCGCCTCCAGTGTACGTGTGTTCCGCGAAGTTGACTCTAGGGAGATTAAAGTCCCCTAGAATCAGGATGTGTGTGAAACCGAGACGGATAGAGAGGGATAGTCCTTACAGCATACGACTATCGTACTCGGTGTCGGCAGTTGGCTTCCTGTAAATGACTCCGACTAGACACCTGGAAGTACTAGACAATCTTACAGAGCACCATATGGATTCCTCAAGTTTGTTAAACTCGAGGTTGCGAACCTGGTGCACCTCCAAGCAAGAGATTATGTATATGGCTACTCCGCCCCCAATTCCTGTTTTTCTGTCGTTGCGGAACAAAGTCATCCCAGGTAGTGCTAACTCTTGGTCCGAGAACTGAGAAGATATCCAGGTTTCAGATATTCCTATCAGATGGGCCTTATTAGCGTTGCTAAGTTCACGTAGCTCATCCAGTTTGTTTGGTAGACTCGCGGCGTTCATATATAAGCAGTTTATGCTTTCAATTTGGAACGCGTGAGCTTCGTCCTGTTTTTCTGTATGAACCTTATGTGAATGGACAGGTAGCCCACCTATATGAGGTTTGCCGAGGTGGTAGGCCCTGTCCTTTACACGTTTTTTTATCGTTTAGACAGTCCACAAGTGGAATGGTCAGCTCCAACTTGCCTTTGTTCTTGGTCCTAACTTCGTATGGCCTATCCGGGTGCATGTGGATTCCAGGTGGCAATCGACGTCTATTAGCACGAAATGCTTCCAGAACTGCAGCCGCCATGTGGGAAGATGGGAAGGTTATCTTCATTAGACGGGGTCTAAGATCACCGTCCTTCTTGGCTAGTCTCGTCACATGCTGAGTCAGTATGTGTTTGAGCCTCAAGGACTGTTTGATGAATTTCCATTCCCTGATGTCAGAATTTGATTGAGTAGGGTCTACATTTTCCGGTATACCCTGGACAATTACGTTTCTTCCGCGGAAAAACTTCTCGCGAGATTCTTTAGGGATGTTCGGGATGAGATTGCTCTCAGAATACGGTATGTCGGGCAATATTCTTACGTTACCATCGGATTTCAGCAAGTGACTTGCTAGTAAGACATCCTCTAAGTCGGTAGCATTCTTAAGTGTTACTCGGAGAAGCCTCGGGTGATTTAGATGCTTAGAATCCTTTCCTCGAGTGAGCCGGGTGACCGTCAAAGGCTTTGTTCTAGGAAGTTCGAGCTTCTTGTTCAATTCACCCCAGAGCATCCTGTCATTTTTGTCCTGCAGACTGAGAGGAAGGTCAGGATTGCCATCGAGGTTCATGATAATGAGAGAATCGTCACGAACTGTTGTTAATTTACCAGGTTTCACGATGGGTTCAGGTTTAATAACTTGTTGTTTGGAGGTCAGTGTGCGTTTATGAATCTTGGGCTCTTTATTGACCGGGCGAACAGTCTTGGGGGTAGATTGTGCGACTAAATCACCAGTTATTTTCCGTGCAGCAACACTTGGGTTGCTCGGCTTAGGCGGTGATGCCTGGTTCTTTTGGGCTCTCTTAACTTGGGTCGGGTCACCTGCAGGGTTTTTGGGGACCACTGTTGTGTTCAGGGACCCTAAGCTGGGAGATCTGAGTTTGCTTAAGGAGCCTAGTACCGTCGACGTAATGATGGTACTGAGCCTCGACACGTCGTCATTAGTGTTGATGGATGCTCCATCGATGGAATACCTATCGACATCCCTGTTTTTGAGTCCGTTGCACGCTCTTGTTTGTATATCAGTTTTTTTACTATCGTTTTCCAAGTTAACTGACAACTTGTTCCGAAGACCTGTCAGTAGGACAATGATGTTACTCAGCAAGACTACTGCGTCCGTGCTGCACGTGACACATACCCACTTTTGGTCTGACTTGCTGAGTCTGTTGTAAGCAGTTTCTGTCGGATTTGTGCATGCTTCGTGGAACTAACCTTTGCAGTTGTCGCACTGCATGCCAGTTGTGACAGCAAAACGGCATCCCGGACGTTTGCATGAGTTTTTCACGACGGTGTTGAAGCAAACTATGTTATAGATGCTTGCAAGAGCCTAAGACCTTTTAAAAAAACACTAAAAAGCACACTGAAAACGGACAAAAATGGACAAAACGAGTGATATAAACTGAAACTAGTCTATACGTGAAAAACAAAAATACCGAATAGTAAGCTGAGGTAAAACCACAGGTAAATATTAAATATAGTTAAACTCAAAAAAAAGTAATCTATCGAACGTATAGCTCAGGATAGATTCTTTAGAACTGAAATGGTACTTTTGTTGCGTAAGAACACAGCAAAAGTTTGATAAATGCAAATCACGTTAGGACTAAACTTCCCGTTCAAAAAGCGCGCGATGAGCCCAAATGTCGGATGATTATTCAAAAGGATATACTTATGTTCAATTAAAAGTTGCAAGCAACTCAAGCTCTGCGGTCCTAATGTTTGGTGGAATAACTTAGATATTCTGATCAGCTTATCTGAATTCCGGTTATCAGCTAACAAATTAACCCAATGTTTCTATATTCACATTGAACGCGCGAACGTCGAAAGAAGGCATAATTGTTCTGACTCCAGTGTGAAAGTGATCTAGAGCTCTTAAGATGCCACAAGTAATCACGGTTTCACGACGTCTTTAACCGTAAGGTCTAAACCTTCCACAACTATTCGGAGTTTCACAACACCTTAACTAGTAAGAACTTTCATGGCAAAAATGTGAAACCTCAGTCAAATAAGAAGTCAGAAGTCAAAAGGTTTGAAAATATATTCGAAAAAATATTGATATATTAAGAAATGATAATTGTAGATTGGCTAGCGGCTATAGATATGCTGTACGGCGTTCCCCCCACGTGATCTGTTGCGCATACGTCACCAAATACATTTAGCAAGCTGGGTCAATTTCAAGTAATGTGCTCAGTATCAAATGTTGAGGACTAACGGAGCTATTGACTTTGGGGATTTATTACACCTACAACTTTTTAAACTTTTCCGTCTATTGCCTGACATGTCATCGAACTGCGTACTATAACTTTGCGGTCAGGCTATCCTGCTTGTTTATTGCTCTTGAGGAACAGGCAGTTTATTGGAAAGATAGCCAGCAGACAAGATCAATGGAACGTCATATACAATAAATAACCTGTCTGCTTTATGTTCCTTTTCTCAATGTATAATAAAAGTACTGTATGTGCCGTTTTTCTGTTAAACTACTTAATTCAGGTATACGAATAGAATTATCTATGTCAGCAGATCAAATCCAAGATTCTAGACATGATGTTACTATCTTATCTATAAAATATAACGTGAAAGTAACATCATAGTTCTCAATGATTCATCTTATCAGTAAAAATTTATGGGACTTCTGAAGAACACATTTTAGATAGCGATAGAATAATATAATTGACATGAAGAGGTTACATAGCGGTCACTTCTGCGGAACCCAGCTATACCAAATCGATTGAAGAGTTCTGCACCCACTATTTCTGACCTTCCTCAAGTGTTCGATGCTGAATGTGAATCGTCTCAGTCATCGTATATTCGGACTCAGGGATCATCCGGCTGAGAAACAATACCAATACAAACGTTTTGCGGGTGTTTCACATATGGCCGGAGAATTTGTTGAGGATCTCATTTTATCCATCTTAAGCTATCTATATAAGTAATACGTGAGCACACTACTATAGCTCGTCTCAGCATGCCAAACGAAAATAGCGAATAAAGTGAAGTTTATTGGGGAAAATGAAATCCTTTATGAAAGTTATGGTACTATATGTAGTTTTCACACGCTGAATGAATGGAAAAATTGGTTGAAGATCTACTGTATATCTAAAGACTAATTGTGATGATCAGAAGTATTCGAATTGCTATACGAACTAGGGATTACGGGTATAACCAATTTAGACCAAGAAGAACCAGGTGAGAACAAACGAAAGCATTGTATTTGGAATTAGAAATCAGGCGGTCATATAAACACGACACTAATATGTATACAAAGAACAGTCTTTTCGATAAATTTTCTTCCAGTTCTACTATTATGCATCAAATTATTAATCCGAAATGTGGCCAGATTTAGGGTAAAGCACATTGTTTAAAGTTACCTCATGTGAATTCAGAACTGTGAGAAAGTATTAAATTGACAATGTTTATATGTCTCATACGGGATGTTAGCTTAAATTAGCTTATATGTTAAGTGGAATGTTGAGATTAACGATTCACTGAAAAATGTTAGATGTACCATGCATATTTAGCAACAGAATTTTTGTAATTTCTATTCCCCTGAGGAAAATGGGGTGGACAGTCATAATAATTATTAAGAAATAAAACGCCATGTGTTTTGATCTATGGATAACAACGCAACACATTTCCATTTTGTACTTTCTGAATTGGAGCTCTGGGGAAGCAAGTGTATGAAACATATACATCCGAAGTTCATCCTCGTATTTGATGCATCTTATTTCGTTGTTCTGAAGCGCGAATGAAATTGACAATTATGTGCGAGAATTGGCGATATGTAGATTTAGTTATCATAATCATACAATCAAATTGGAGTCAGATTATCAGGCCACAATTTCATGGTCCGATTGGAATTCTGGTAATTCGTAATACTACTTCTAAACACTTGGCGTCACCTGAAGGACATTGTTCTCATTAGTTCAATTGATTTCATATTAGATAACTGGTGTAAATTACCAACGTTTATAATATTTGTCGAATGATTGGGGGCCTACTCGACTTAGATGGGAATGATGTGACCATTTGCTAACATCGAATTCACACCTCGCGATCAACACCTAATATGGATTAACTTTTCATTGTATCAAGGTGTTATATAAGCTTTGAAGACCGAACAACACAAAGGATAAGATTACAGCAATATATTAGTTAAAGTAGGCAAAAGCAAAAGTGTGACCACCATCGCGTGGGACAGTCCATATCTTACGATTAACTGATGCACGTTGGTTGTCCTTGACAGGGATCGACGATGTGTTTGATAGTCAGTGACCGGACTTCCGGATGATTTAGCTAGGGCTCAGTGACATTTCACTGGCCCTACACTAACAAGCGGACAACTAAGTGGGAATTAATCATAGCAGCTTATCAATGTATTGGTATCTTTGCTATAAATCAAGTTAAGTTACAGCTTCATAATTAAGGCATTTGGCCTCTTCCTCTTGGAATGGGCATTTTGACAACTGCGTTAACTCTGACTCAACATTCGAGAAGTTAATCTTGCTATAAAACGACAAAATATTAGCAGGTTATGTGTTAGGTCTATGTACAAAATGGTTGACTTGCCCCCGTTTAATGCAATAAACATTGATATTCCATGATTCAAGGGAGAAATGTAGGACTGTAAATAAAGATCTATTCATGTACCTGCAATAAGTCCCATAAAGTTTCCATCACTAATTCAAACACGAAATTTGATTGAAACCGGTTTATTACAAACGCACTAACTCAAAAACTCAAGTGTATAGCTTTCAGATTGGCCGATGGAAGAGAATAGGAGTACTATATCTGAATATGAACTTACATATGAGTCACAAATTATTGATTCACTACATTTTCAATCAATAAGGAAATATATATATATATATATATATATATATATATATATAGCTTAGCTAATTAAATATCAGAATTAAATTAAAGCAATCCCATATTTTTCTTTACCATGCTTTATCTCTAGATGTCAAGACTGATCATGTATATACATATATATATATATATTTGAAAGGAGTCTACTGAAATATAACGTACAACGTCAGTCGGGATAACAACCACAGCCAACAAAATAACAAATTGTTAAACTTCAAATCTTGTGAACTTTATCGCTTTAAATGCAATAGAATTTTATCGCTTTGACACGGTTTTTTGAGATTAACATAGAATAGTGAAACATATTTTCTGGAAAAGCCAGGTTTTCCAGCGAGTTGTGGTCTTTTTTCCTGTGGAAGTAAGGGAATGAGCTATGTTTTATTGGTACCTATGTCACATGATTATTTTACTATCATTATTGTAATCTTTCTTATATTACTATTTTTTCTTGGCGTCTTTGGGGATTATACATTCCGTCTCCTACAGTCATCGAACAATTCCTCACTTAAGTTAGCAACCAGGTGTTCAACATCAGATTCTATCGTAACACCAAATAAAACTAGCAGTTGTACTACGTGTATTCCATGATATAAAAATCCTTAGAACTGTTCAAAACATACTTTAATAGCTTTTAATGGAACAGGGAGTCAAAACCATAAACGATCATGAAAACATGAACATATTTTATTGGAGTTACAAGCGAGGACTGTAATGATATGCGGAATATTTATCATTTCATACAGATACCACACATAGGGGTTAAATTTTATTCTAAGTTAAAACAGTTTGAATCATTAGATATATGCAATATTTTTCTAATCTCAACTACATTACCAAAAGTAGTTGTTTAAATAAATAAATTGTCCCAATTCAGATATTCCTATAAATGTTGTGAGTAAACATTTGTGCCGGTCATTATGCTTACACTTTCATCCAAAGTATAAACTTATCCAAGTGAATATTTCATCTTAACACTGACAACTCTATGCTATTTTATAGGCAATTCTGAATTCACATGCCATAATTTTAAGTGATGTATTTTACTTTGAACCTGGCTACCTTTTGGATCATTACTATGAATATATAATTGTAGAACCTAAACAATATTTATTGGAAAAAAGATTCTGTATTCATTTACCTGTGTTTTCATCTGATGAAGACTTTCCACCGAAATATCTACTCTCATTATTCTCTAGGTATTATGTTCTTTTGGTTTCTTGAGGCAGAGCAGTATGCTGAGCGTTTGGACTTAGTGTATAAACATGTAATACTCTATCATAAAAAATCTCACAAAATATTATCGATAAAGATAAAATAAAATTTTTTAAAATCAAATCATTGTTGATTTTCACTGATCAGAACTTTTTGCTAGTGGCTTTCGTAACAAGTAACACAAATATACGAGGATGTTGTTGGTTACTTTTTCGTTTTGTTAAAGAAAAAATAATTCATATAATAGAATATTAGTATAATTCATTAATTGGTAAGAGGATTTATGAAGATCGTAGTATTTTAACAGTTGAATTCACAAGCCGATCTACGCTGGACCCATATTAAGATGAGACGGCTATCCAGTGCTTCTAGGTTTTCAACGGTAGCCTAGCTTAAATCGACTCGTGCATTCAACTGTCAAAATTCATTAATTCTTGAGTGTGATTATTGGTGTACAGATTTCATTAAGATACACTGAGTATTGGTACCGGTTATTTCTAGTCAGAAAACTTAGTATTTGGAAACATTCAAAATAGTATTATAAGTAGGAGAAAATTGCACTAAACATTTTTATAAAATATACAACTTTATGATTGGAAGCTAAAGTATTAACGGGATGATAAAAAATTAAAGTTGATAGCAATAACTAATAAGTATTTGAAGTACCCAATGAAAATCTCTTATGGGACTATCACGATATTAGATTATAATGATTTTTCGGTAATAAAAATTATAGATTTAGCTGTCATAATACAAAACCAAGTTAAACATTAAGAAATAATTTGACATATATTTTCCTAAATATAGTGAATAAACATGCTAGTGAATAGTTGATTAGTACAAAGGAAAACAATTACATAATAAGTTTCATACACATAGTTCCCTTTATTATCTTAAAGAGAGCAAGAACAAAGATTAGTGCAGAATAATATGAATTCATTTTATTTCGTCAGGTTCTCATCAGCTGTTTACAACCTAAAATATTTGAGAATCAGCATTATTACAGATATTGACATACTTAAACATAAGAGGGTGATTAAGGATGAATAAATGTATCATGGTGTAGCGAAGATTCCGACAGAGTTAATGAGGTCATAAAATTTTGTCTCGAATAAATAGAGTTTGAGAGGGAAAGTTCTGGAACATTGAAATAGTGATTAGAACTCATGAAGATAGATTAATGGTAATAAAGAAAATATGAATTGAAATCAGTCAGTTATGTATGATGCAATTTAAAAGGGTTGGAATAAAGACGCAATAAATAAATAGAGAAATAAATGAAATAAATGGTAACAATAACCCCTATTTCAATGTTCCGGAACCTTCCCTCTCAAACTCTATTTATTCGAGACAAAATTTTATGACCTCATTAACTCTGTCGGAATCTTCGCTACACCATGATACATTTATTCATCCTTAATCACCCTCTTATGTATAAGTATGTCAATATCTGTAATAATGCTGATTCTCAAATATTTTAGGTTGTAAACAGCTGATGAGAACCTGACGAAATAAAATGAATTCATATTATTCTGCACTAATCTTTGTTCTTGCTCTCTTTACATAATAAGTGACAAATTTCTGCATTATATTTTCATGGGTTTATCCACTGATTTTCGTATTTAAACATTTAAAGGAGACTATTTAGGAATGTTAAAACAAATTAGAAATGATCAATTAAAATTGAAATATGAGAGTCTTTAATAATGGAAAGAATTCCTTGATTAGTGTTATGTTTTTGTTTTTGAGAATTAGTTTTGTTTTTCACAGATGATTGACATTTAGCACTTAAAGGTATTTCATGCCATTTTGTTGGTTCATTTGAACGTGAAGTTCTTGGTAAAGAATCATCATCAGTTGATGTTGAAGTAGAAATAGCTGAAGCATGTAATAAAGATAAATTCCATTTTTCTAAATGTTTATTAAGTTTTGTTTCGGATTCATCACTAGATTCTGAGTCTAGAGGATATCTTGGGACAGTAAGTTCAACAGGTTTATGAAATGTTAAACCTCTAGGACCACACATAACCATTGGACTGACCAATATAGGTTTGTCAGATGATTGATGTGTTTCACATGGTAAATTATCTATGAGCAATTCATTTTCGCTTTCATAAACCTTTATTGAAATGAAACAAAAAGTAATTGTTCGTTAAGAGTTTATTTTTACAAAATTAAGCACTTTTAGCCTTTTACTGATCAAGACCTAAGTAACTGGATGTCTGCTGAAATTTGTCGAACCCAAACTAGTCAGTTGGTATTATCGTATGATACATCTACTTCTGCATGTTGTACAATAAGTGATTTTTCGGTTCTATGTTGTACTTCACTGAGTTACTCTGTAAAGCGATTTCGTCTACATTATTAACCATTATGCTCTATATGCTCTTATTTCGTTTAATATTTTTTAAAAAAAGCTAACGGTATTACTACCATCTATAAATTAACTTTTAAAGACCTAGGTTTAACACGTTCGAACCCGCCAAATGTGTGAATATATATTTCCCTTCGACTGGAAAAGTGTCAACTCTGCACAATTAAAAGATCTATTTGTTTAGGCACGTCCTTTCATAACTGTGAGGTTAGTTTGTATCATAATCGATTAATAGTTATTTACAAATATAATGTCACAAAAACTACCCAAAAAATAGGGTGAATTTATACAAATTAGAACATATATTGACCATTCTCTCTATCAGAGGACCCTCCACTTGATAGCAAAACTTTCTAGAGTTTTGTGGCAACTATGTGCACTCTGTTTATCCTCCCTGTCAATTTGGTTTGAATCTGATTTAATGAGGTCTATGTTAACTGCCTAAATCGTTAAATACTATTTTGTTATTTCTAAGGTTCTTTATGCGTGTCCAAACTATTAAATATTGAAAAACTCATTTGTATTCGAAAGCGAAATATTTAACTAGAAAACTAGTATATGAACATTGTTTAATTTTCGGACTGACTAAATGCAATGTATACTAAAAGAATATCCATCTCATACTTTGTGAAAGTATATCATAACTTTTGATGAGAAAAAGTAAGAACAACTACTCAAAGGACTTAAAGGTCAAGATAAATAATTTAAGAAATGGAAATTGTGTTGAATATACAATAATCTCCTGTCATTAAAGTTTATAAAATTAAAGCTAAATTCAGTTTAAAAACTCTTGAACATTGCATATACACAATTTCTAGGACCTACCCTAATAAATATTTTTTGCAGACCTTCCTCCTCAGAAATAGCTCCTTCGGGAATCCTCAAACAGACATTGTGTTCAGGTATTTCCAAAATTCCACCCTGTGAGCCGAACTCCCCACACTTTTCGGCTAATATTGTTCTTGGTGATGTAGGAAGTGATGAAATGCCAGATTGAGGATCAGCTACATTACTAATTAAATCTGCTGATGAAGGCTTTTGTTCATCATTTGTATGGAGATCTGAAGATGTAATATCATCAAAAACTAGTTGGTGTAAAGAAAGAGTTGGGCTGATTGTCGGAGTTTGACCGTCATTTGGTTCTAATTCATTGATTGGGTGGATATTACTAAAACCAGGTTTACTAAACGAATTTAAATGAAACATTAATTCAAACCAATTTCCTATGAAAAGTGATCAAAATTAAAGGATATTGGATATAAAATAATGTGATGTTGATTAATATCAGTATATGAAATACGGTCACCATGTCACATACTCTTGGTGACTATATACTGAATGCCAAGTCCACTGTGTTTTCAGATATGAAAATATGAATCTGGTAGAAAAAGTATCATATAATCATGTTTTTTACAGAATCATTGTTTTACTTAAGATTTCACTTCTAGCAAACACTTTATCATCAGTATTTCTTACTATCAGTTAAGAGATTAGTGAATTTAGTAGTTTTGTTCTCTCAACTGTATTAACCAAGATTTATTGATAATGAACTTATCTCGAAAACCCAGGACATTCACTTCTGTTTCAAACAGATTTGTATATTCTACTTAATGTCAACAGTAATTTTAGCTTTATGTATCAACTAGTCATATATATATGTATTAAAATTCATCATTTTGAATTTACACACCTAACCTTGAACTGTAAAAGTTTTGCTGAAGTTATAATTTATATTATTTAAGTTTATGTTACATAAATTGTACTAGATGAATGGAATTTTTATCATGATACAAGAGTTTATACTTAGCGGAGGAAAAAACTGTTTTAATATATTTGTTGATTATCATATTTTCTAGAACAAATTAATACCATTACAAACGATGAATAAGAAATCCCTGTTTATGCGCCTACAATTCAGAGAGGATGCGGCTAGTGACATATTAACTCATAGATTACGCAGGACAATATAACAATCTTTCAACGCCGGAGAACTACGATTAGTGTTTTCTACGTGCTCAATGATGACACTGAGGTTAAAAGATGAATTACCTAGAATGACCACCTCATTTTGTATTTTTCAGTTCGACAGCTCCTCTGGAGCAAGTTATATTGGTCGAAGTTCTAGGAATTCACATTTTCCTGCTCATGAACACCTCCCAGCGCGACTAAACAAAGGTCTGGTGAAGAAAGTGAACAGCTCGATATTGGCCCATTTAGTACAAACTGATCATAAGTGCCAGTATAAACTAATCCTTTTCAATTATTTATAGGGTCAGTAATTTTTTGCTAAAGCTTGTTAGACTCAAAGTCCTACAAACGGCTGAAGCAGTAGCCATCCGGATGAAGAAACCGGAACTATGAGTACAGAGGAAATATCTTTAACCACTCCTCCACCCTTGGCCAACCTCTAGGCCAATTAATCAATAGTAATCTTAGTTATTGAATGACCTAATTTGACTATTGTACTTACGACCTTTCGTAGTCAAATGTAATTGTCAATGTTATCTTTATTCACAAATCTTTTTATTATTATTATTATTATTATTATTATTATTATTATTATTATTATTATTATTATTAATATTATTATTACTGGTTAAACATAATTATTAATCTTCCCAATACATGATTCACTTACTTAGTATTCATTCCACCTTATTATGTCTTACTAATAATTTTTTACACAATATAGTCTTCCATTAAACAATTGATCGAATTGTAATTGCATTATTATTTCTCACATTCTATCTGATCCATTATTTATTCTGATCACAGATCACAAAATTTTCACTTAACATATAAGCTGATCTAAGTTAACATTCTATGTGAGTCACATATCAACATTAACAATTTTATTCTATTTTATTTGACAATCCTAAATTCACATGCTTTCAACAATTCACTTTACCCTTAACCTGGCCATTTTTCAGATTATCAATTTCGATATATAATTGTAAAACCTGAAGAGAATTTATCGAAAAGAATATTCTTCATTCAAATATTAGACTTTCCATATGATGGTGATCTTTAAACGATTAACAACATTATCATGAGTTTATACAAGAAAAGAAACTGTTATAACGCTCGGTTTTACTTCGTCTACACGTATGGGATGTTAATTTACCTTAGACGAATATCTACACTAGATTCCCTCCCACTATCTATTCTACAGGAGTTTAACACCAATCAGATGAAGAACACGTGATTAGCCTGACTAGAACGTGAATATATTTCCACACCAAAGCCCGACACAATCCCACAACGATGAACGATTAATAATAATTGAGTAATAATAGGGGAATATATAACTCATCTAACACCTGTCAAATAATCTTTCACAATACTTATTCAGTCTTGAAGATATATTTTAATAGAAGTTTTTATCTTTTAGTAGAATTTCACTAATGAATTAAATTGACCACATGATCCTAACTTTACAAAGGTAAGATCACATTTGTTAAGCTGATAAACAGTTATAATTGATAATTTAAACAGCGTGTAACAATCTATTTCATAAATTCATTTCTCACAGTCAACAAAACAGAATTCTCAAGTGAAATAAAATTTTAATGGTTGAGATCATGATTCAATTGGAGCTAAACCACCATGGAAAACCTGGGAACACTGGACAGCTGTTTCATCCTATTGTGGGACTCCTCGACAGTGAAATGAAATTCATGATACAAAATATTAAGATCAAGTTCTTCTCATTCCCGTTTTTTATTCTCATCATCTTTTCTTGTTTTATTTTGAGCTGTGTTTCGAAAGCATAAACATGATGGGATCAAATGCATTGATTCGCACTAGGTGAATTTATGTATACTAACACAATAGAACTTATAAGTCATAAATATACTAAATAAAAACAGTTTATGAATCCTTGGAACATATATTAATTATAACAATAAACATCTTCGTACTCGCTACCAGCTTGTGAAACCATGATAATTAGTGGTACATAGTGTTGTTAGTAAATGCAATTGTTTAAGTTGGACAGTTTCATTATGTTACTTTTATTACTATTCTGGAGTATGTCTAAGCTAAATGTTCTCTCCATCATATTGTAAAATAAAATTTTTTCATTTAGTAGTGAATGAAACACAGTCGTAAACAAAGTTGAATAATAAATAAAGCCTTTATGTGAACGGAAATAGCAAAACCCATAAGGGCACCCTAATTAAACTTCAATATCTAGGATTAAGTCATGAAATTTTAATACTTGGTTAGAAACAGGTTTATCCTAGTTATCATTTACAAAGTTTAATCAATATCAGAATCGGTTTTGTGGAGATTTTCAGAAATTTCACTGGTTGAAATCATGAGTCAATTGAAGCTAGACCACCATGGAAAACCTGGAAGCACTGAATAGCCGTTTCGTCCTAGCACGGGACTCCTCAGCAGTGGGCATCCACGGTCCCGCGGGATTCAAACCCGGGACCTACTGGTTCCGCGCGTGGGCACTTAACCCCTAGATCACTGAGCCGGCATCCAACGGTGTTATTGTCTAACTTCAAACTGGTTTTCCATGGTGGTCTAACTTCAATTGACTCATGATTTCAACCTGTGAAATTTCTGAAAATCTCCACAAAACCCATTCTGATAATAATAACAATCACCTGCTCACTATTGACTGACTTCAAGAGGCATTTCCTGGAGTTCTAGTGAGAAGCCGTTACCAGTGGAGTTCAAGCAGGTCTCTTGAGAGGTATCAGCTCACTGAAGACAATGGTGTACGGTGGCGCAACTTCGTGGATTGGTTGAAGTTAGACATTAACACCGTTGGATGCCGGCTCAGTGGTCTAGTATTTAGGTGCTCGCGCGCGAGACCAGTAGGTCCTGGGTTCGAACCCTGAGGGATCGTGGATGCCCACCGCTGAGGAGTCGCGTACTAGGACGAAACGGCCATTCAGCGCTTCCAGGCTTTCCATGGTGGTCTATCTTCAATTGACTCATGATTTCAACCTGTCTAATCAATATGTTTATTATTCCAAGGTATTGATTCGGATTCTATCGTTTTGTCATTGTCTGCAAACGTTTTGACAAAAGAAAAACACAGAACAGAACATCTATTTAAATGTAAATAACCAAGAGCATTTACGCAAATTAGCGTTGCTTACTTTTCATCAAAGGATTGATCAAATCGTGGATGTTTTACTGACATTGATTCAATATGTAGCCTTAGTGTTTCTAATGAAAATGGCGAAATGTTCATGGATAAAATATCTAATTGTTTGTGGAAGAGAAAAAAAATTAAAATAAATTAATCTTATCTTACATACTGAATGATGATTAATTTATCAAGAAAATCTTGGTTAAGTAATAATTTAAATAAGAATGAAGAAACAGATGATTCAGCTTAGAGTTTGTGGGGAATGTTTGTAGTTCAAGAGAATGATTTTAACGAATTTGTATTCTCTAGGCTGAATGGTCTGATTGCAAAACTTTTTAAATAGCATTATCAGTTGAAACTTTAAAGAAGTGAGTGAGCTATCGGTATTCCTCAACAATTGATTAAAGGTGTGGTTTCTGACCATCTCAATTGGAGAACCTGGCAAAAAATTGGTTTAGCCGAATAATATTAATTCAGTAGGGGATTATCGGTCGAAAACTGGTACTTTATGGTCTTCATCAACTTGACATTGATAATGATGCTGAATCGATTTGTATGTTTACTGAGATTTGAGGGAAGATATCATGTTCCGTTTGAAAGGTAGGGTTAAAGGGAAGTTAAATAGTTAATTAAAAGCTAATAAATTAAGTTTATTAATGAATCACTGGGTCGATTGAGGAACTAAGATGTTAGTACCGATTACTTCCTGTTAATTACTGGTCATAATTGATTTTACAAAATATATGAATCAGTTAAAAAATATTTCGCAAACTAGATTTCTTCATAACACACATGATCACGTAAGCTTGAATCCAGTGATCTTAGTAATTAACCGTGTCACGTGTTTTAACCTGAGGTTTGAATTTCGACCCAAGGAACTTGTTCCATTGGTGAGTAGAAAAACATTATCTGAACGACACAAACTGTATTTGAAACAATAATAAATTAAAAGGAAGGAAACCTGTATCGGTTATACAGTAATTTGTTTTGTATCATACGTTTATAAATAGGCCCATCCCCCACTAGACGTCAAGGCTGTTTTGATAACATTAAATTAGGTAAATAAAAAGGCAGTTTATCGATCAATCACGACTCAGTTAACCTGGCCTATACCACCGAATCGATGTGTCAACCACATACAAGACACAATATATTAATATTTCAGTCAAGTGACAGTGCATATCGGACATTCGATGCATTGTGTTTCTACGAACAATTTGTAATTTTCCCTACGAATCACAACGAATAGCTCCTTGAATGTAACATACTGGGTTAGTTTCCTTAGAAAATGCTTTTCTATGGAACTTTCAAAGCTCAACACAAATGATCTTTGTTATCTTGTAACTATTTAATAAATGTGATGTCAGTGATGTTGAAATCGCTAACCAGCAAAGCATTCGTGTGGACAGTCAATATACTATTCATACACAAAAGAAGTTTGTGAGGTTAGCTAAAGTAGTTGTATATATTGCAAGGGTATCACTTGTAGAAACAGACATTCCATACTAATTATTCAGGTTTATTCGGATTTTTTAGTTTGTCCTATTAGTCTAATAATAATGATCACAATCACATTTACTGGCCATTCATACCAGGAGAATATTGAAAAGTCGTGACCAAATAAACATGTGAAATTAATTTTTTTTTAAAGTTAGCAAGGTGTTACACATTAACTGTTCATTCTTGTCACTTTCATGTAATTTAAATTGTGTACCATAAAAACAAAAATCATAGTGATTTTGAATTTACATTGGAAGCGGAATTTTAAATGGATTTCTTTCTGAGAGTTTAACTCGAGTGCAAACCTCTTCAAACACTGGGATGTTATCTTTTAGGCTACTGTGTGACAATTCAGAAAGCATTAGTTAGTTTTATCCTATTTTGGGAACTCTCATCGATATCGAATGAAACGGGAGAACTTTAAGTTTCACGGCGAGGAAGTTTAGTGCTGGGATGTTAAGTAAGAGATCACTCTAAGAAATAATTCAGAAGCTGATCCTAAGTACTTTGTCGAGTAAGACCACGTAATATTGCTAGTTCTAATTAGAGAAAACGACAGGGTACATCACAGGGTACAAACATGTGCTCGGTCACAAACTGTTAAATGTTAAATTGAAAGATATTTGATATAGACCAACAGACCATGACTAATATTTCGTTAAAATGAAAGGTAGTCTCCTCTTTGTCTAAAATCCTTACTTAAATCACATTTTTGCAGTTTGAAGTCATAATTAAGATCATGTGCAATGATTATAATAATAATAATACTCTACCACCTGTTTGTTCACTTATTTCTTTGAATTTAGTTTCTTCTTGAATCGTGGGATTCGCATTATCAAAATTACATGTACAACCATAGTAATCTTTAGTTTTTGATTTAAATGATGTGTCTTTATTGGTATTTTCAATCACTTCATTTGCATGACACACCGGTACATGACGAAATGGAGGGATGTACTTCTTGTCTTCGGGTACTGTTGAACTAACATCATTTCTGATCAAATCATTCATTTCCAGCCTTGTTTCTTTGGTATTATGAGATGAGTGTCTTATTTCCTCTCCCTCACTGCAAATATTGTCATTATAATTTGGTGGTCTCGGTGTTTCTGGATCTAAAATGCAGTCAGACAACATGTTATGCGTAGCTATGTTGTTATGGTAAGATAAACAAATATAGAATAGTTTATCCAATTTACATATAATTAATTTGGTAATTACAAAAAAAAAGAAACGATGAAATAATCCATATAATTTGTATGAATAAGAATTTGCATTTGACCACATTTAGAATGTCAAATATCATATTACTAGTATATCTAATCAATAAAACTGACTCAATTTGTTATGGTTGTTTTTCTAAAACTTTTTTTTCTCTCATAAGCAATATTCACCCATTGTAAAGTAAAAAGAATCTACGAAGCACAGACAAAGAGATAATTGCGTTCTAGGATTAAAGGGTTATTTTCGACATCAATAGGACGGAATATTGAGAATTAATGACGAATGGACAACTGCCCTGATTCATGTAGGCGAAACTCATGTCTTATTCAAGGATAAACACCATACAGTTACACTACTATTGTAGTGAAGGAGAACACAGGTGAGGACAACCGAATTATATTTAGCACAAAATTACAGAGTTACTTGGTGAAATAGAAAAAACCATACTCTAATACTTAATTTGCAAAATGTTCAATAATTGTCTCGAACTTCGTTGTTCTTGCATTTCCATACCAATTGCTTTCTATTCCCGCCCTTCCTTTCCTGATCTTTCCCATCTTCTGCTGCCAGACATTACATTCCTGACTCGCGTCATATACTATTGCCTTTATTCATTGGAAGTGTACACATGTAAGTGAAACTCATGTCTTATTCAACAATAAACACTATACAGTTACACTACTATGTTGAAACTTGATTGATTACATTTTCAAGTGAAATCATTCCAAAAAACGTTTTGATTCCTATTTATAACCATTTGGGAGTTGCTCACTCATTCCCAATTCATTTGATTCCATAAATTATAATTTCTATTAAAACGTTGATTAGTCCATTTCAAAGCTGGTCATCAGTGAATATATCGATATTATTAAATTAAACATTTTACTAAAGGTTCTATATATAATTCAAAGATAGCAAAAATCTTATTATTGACCATTCATTAATAAACTCATCTAAGGTATTACGAAAATGTACATAGTTTATCTGTCATCTATTTAATGAAAAGTTTCAAATTGTGAAAAGGATTCTTAAATAATAACAATCTCTCTGCAATGTAAATTCATCCGTGAATGACCTTTTGATCAAGCCATAGTATTCTCATGATTTGTTTAAACAAAGAAAAAAAGATATTTGAAACTTTAAATTACAAACTGATTTTGATTAGATCATAACGCTTTACAATCATAAAAGTATATTTTCTGCATTTTTTTCAACTATTTCGATTACACATTTTTGAGACATATCATATTTCACTAGTTGAGATCATGAGTCATTTGAGGTAAGACCACCATCGAAAACCTGAAAGGACTGAATGGGCGTTTCATCCTATTATGAGACTCCTCAGCAGTGCGCATCCACGACCCCGCCTCGCGGGATTCGAACCCAGGTTTTACATGGTGGTTTCGCTTCAATGGACTCATGATCTCAACTATTGAAATTACTACAATCTTCACGAAACTCTCTCTGATACTAATCAACATATGCTCACTAGTGACTGGATTCAAGAGGTATATCCTGGAGTTCTAGTGAGAAGCAGTGACCAGTAGGGTTTGATCGGGTCTGTTGTGAGATAGTAACTCACTGATGACAATGGTAGATGTGTCACTAAACTTCGTGGATTACTTGAAGTTAGGCATTCACACCACTGGATACTGGCTCAGTAGTCCAGTGGTCGGGCGCTCGAGCGCGAGACTGATAGGCCCTGGGTTCGAATCCTGTGAGGCAAGGTCGTAGATGTGCACTGCTGAAGAGTCCCACAACAAGACGAAACGACCGTTCAGTGCTTTTAGGTTTTCCGTGGTGGTTTAGCTTTAATTGACTCATGATCTAAACTAGTGAAATTACTACAATCTCCACAAAACTCCTGATAAATCCAATGTTTGTATAGAATTCTTTTATAAACTACAGTAATTAGAATTAAATCATTCAATGGATTTTTTATGTAAATCACCTTTGAAATAGTATCATATATGATTTTTTAAAAGAAAACAAAATGTAAATTATGAATATAAATGTAACCTAGATTACATAAGTTTATTGTAAACTGTATATGGATAAAAATGAGTAACTTATTATTATACAAATAAGATAGAATAACAGACAAATTTTACAAATCATTTTTTGCACAAGTTTTCAGTGGTAAAAGATGAATAAATGTATTCTATCACAAAACGTTTATGTAAATAATAACTTTTTAATCAACTATATATTTCTGTAACATAGAGAAATGAATAAAACCGATAAGGTTTACTAATTCAGTGGTATTGTAATTGATGCAAAGCGTATAGATTTTGAATGTGACATTATATAATACAGTTTTGTGCTTGATTAGCTAAGTTATACAGCTAAGACATTAATTTATAGAAAACTGTATTTGGGAATGTTGAATGAATATGACTATAACTGATGATAAAAATAGATATTTGAGTTGTGATTTATCCAGTTGGCTTTGTGAATTACCTTATAGAATCAAATACATTTCTATGTAATTATAACAATACAACTACTTTCAAAGTTTAACAGTTTTCCTATTATCACAGTTGATTGATCACTGGGTGGCGATCAATGTCATCCGTGTCTAGTCCTTATTAGTGCAGATCGAATGCTATCGACCATAATGCAATGTGGCCACCAGTCAAGGTGACTCGACAATGTGGGCACTATATATTGAAATTAGATGGTGATTGGAGGTAGTCTTTTCTATTAACCTTAAACTCATATAAAAAAGCCATCATGAACATTTTAATAATTGTAGCTTTGAAATACAAATTAGTTTAGTTTTAAAAAAAGTGTAGACTTTCGAATTTCGGTTTAGTCAATTAAATATAACTTAAATACTACAAAAGATGAAAGTAATGAATTAAGTTTCTTGCTAGACTATAAATGTACACTATAGATGAAGTTTAAATTAAAACAAACCAACTTTCTAATAATCTCCAGTTTTCGTTAATCCTTAATTAGACATTAGTTCAACAGGTATCTTTGAAATAAGCTATTTCTTTCTGAAAATGTACTTAAACGTTTCATGTTTAATTTGGAAGACATAACATTTATCAAATTAATATCAAAAGGAAGACAAATTCAAAGATCTTCCATGGGATTCAGTACTTTCAATAGGATACAATCATATCTACCATTATTGATGTAAACTAGCTAGGCAAAATGAAACACTTTTTGGACGATAGTCAAAATGAAGTTGAAAGAAAAATATAATCTTTATTGTTTAGTGTATAAAAGTATTCTTTGCACTAGTTGATCATTGAGAAGTAATTAAAATCACATTTTTTATGTTATGCGGTGTCCTATTCTGAAAGTGATACTCTTCTTGACCCTGAGAGAGAGAATGAAGCTTTTTATTGACCGACTGAATCAAGTATTTATTGCTTAGATATAAAAGTCACATTTTTGAACCAATGCGATGTATTCCACTCCTTAGAAAGAATGCCATATCTTAACAGGTAGCGTGCACCGACCATTTGGCCTATATTCGACTGGCCCACTGTATCACATGTTGTTGAGTTTTTTAAAGCTGATCGAATTCTACCATTTAAATTGCAATCTGGTCACTAGTTTTAATGATTCATATTTACAGTTTATTTGGTTTGATTTTAATTATTCAGTATGAACATCAGAAAGTCTTTAATTTACGTTTCACGAGAGTTGGCACCTGGCCTCAAAGTATCTCTGATTGTGAAACCAGATGATCAGTAATCATCTGCCTAAAGATTTCAAGTGAGATATCCATAGCCTAAAACACATGAAGTCTTACACTCCAATAAAAAAATACTATCTGTTAAACTAAACAGAATATGATGTGATACGACTATGAAGATTCATACCACTCATTGTAACGACGTCATCGCCTCCTTCTTGTTCTTCATCAATTAACTCATTGATTTTTAATTGACCGATTTCTGATTCCTCACCAATCCATACCTTTTAGCAATACAAACAAATGAATATACTTTGAGAAATCCAAAAACAAAGTGCAAAATATAACTCAAAGTACTCTACCATATTCGTAGATTATTAGAATTGATACGATTGGTCTTTTTTGGATAAACAACACCATTAGAACAATGACATCATAAATACTGATGCAACATTTTGTGGTAATCAAATTGATTTGAATGTAATATTCGCTATAAAGTGACATCATTTAGGGTGTCATTAAAATCAGAGAGCAATAGCCAACTATGTCATACCAAACAGTTAATACTCATTATGGGACCTGCGAGTGCAAACTTTTGAGGAGTTTCCTAGTCAGGCAGAACAGCTACGTAGTACTCCCTAGTTTTTAATAACACAACTGATATCAATCAGTAATGAATACAAGCTACAAATAACAAAATAACACTAATTACTTGATATTTTTATTCTTCTAGAAACCCTAGACAGAGGTTACTCATTAAAAATTACAACTCATCAACAAACATTTTATCTAGTTTTCAGAAGTGTCATGATTTCTAAAATATTACTTTCTCAATACATTTTCAAGCAAAATGCTGATTTACATTCGTTTGTAAACGAAATAATAGAATTTTAATTTGTCAGAGGTAAATCATCTCTGGTGCTTGAAGCCTGTACTTCCCAATTGCTTAAAAGAAATGATTGGATCGACTTAAAAGATGATTATTTTTAAAAATTTTTAATGATTTCCATGATTTCGCAACAAAAATTATTGATGGATGAAAATCAACCGGTTCAATTCTATGTATATTTTATTTGGTGATGCTAAAATAAAGAAGACAAATACAAGTTATTCGATTATATATTCTAACAGTTAAGGTCAGTGCATTTTAGCAGTTCAAATTACGACCCATAATTTAGAACTATTAAAGGAATTTTGACGAAGTGCCCGCACACGACCCTATCGGTGACAAAACCCAACACCTTCAAGTCTCACGGACAGCGCTTTACCCTAGTACCACTGAATCAGTATCTAAATATATGCATATTAAGCTTCAATAAAGGTTCAGTTTTAGATTCTTTGTTGGTTGATGACGCATATGGCTGAGGATTCTCATACTAGGATGGAACGACTGTCTATTGCTTTCTGGTTTTCACTTTTCGTTTAACTTAGATCAGTTCGTGGTGGTGAATAAGAAATTCGGAAATTTTCACAAACTCATAACAATTTGCTTAATCATCAGTTTATTCACTTCGCGTGATTAGGAAAGCTAGTAATGAATAAAAATATTTCTTTAACGATAATAAAATATCTTAAAAGTTGTAAACGCAAATAAATAAAGACGAAATTCCTGATTACCGGTGAGTTTTGCTGATGTCTTATAACTTCAGATAAATTTCGTAACCACTCAATTTCTGAAAAAGAATTTTCCTTTGAAGTAATGTTTAACAGTGGCACAGTATCGGTTATAACATGTGATTTATATTGACGTAAATAAATTACAGAATTCCATAGAGTTGTAACCATCTCTTTGATTGTAGGACGTGTACGACTGGATACTCTTGATGGTATGAATAAAGCACTTGATGTTTTGTTAAATTGCCAATAGTGTTTTAATAAAACTTTTAGTTGATACTCAGATGATGGATTAATTAATATCACTATTGGAGGGATTCCGAGAAGGGTAAGCCGTTCAATAGCTGTTGGGCCAATATCCAGAAGGCAATGGTAACCTCTTTTCATGCACTCCTGTTTAATAACATGGAAAGAGAACATTGCTCGTTATAATAATCTGAAATAACTATAATCATTCGAATAATTCGTTTTGACAGTCTATTGCCTTTTAATAAATTACTGTCAAACTATCTCAAACACAAACCCGATCCTTAGTAAACTTATGTAGTTGAATATTGAACAAGGTGAAGACGTTACAATGACGAAAGGTTTTTTTTACCAACGAAATCGTTTATCAGAGCGATACACAATTGTATTTGTATTTATTATTTACATATGGCGGTATGTAATAAAAATAAATAATTAATACATCATTAACATTAAATGATATCGTCAATACGAAAACTTCCTTTGTAGAAAAGTTTTTATTGTGCCTAATGAATCAGTTAGTTTCTTTGGTTGTCACTGAACATTTTTATGAAACGAATAGTTTTGTTTCGGTAAATAAAAAAACTGTACTCATTTCGTGTCTAGAAAGAATAGTTTTTCACTGGAAAACTGTATTCGCCTACGGATAAGCGGTCAGTAAGAAGGAGTATCAGTTGGATTACTTAAATCGTAATTTATAAATTTCATTAATAATCGCGTACCTACAAAACAAATTAGTAGAAAATATATGACATAATTATTCACACAGTAGTGAAGTAAAAATATGACAAGTTTACTTTTAATCAGCTGACTGCTCAAATTTCAATCACCAAACAGTCCGTGGATTATTCAATTTTTGTGTAATACCATGTTAAAATTTCATATAAGAATTATGGGTTCTGGAGGTCTCATCATTTTACAGATGATGATAAGCTATTATCAAGCTGAAAATATTTGAACTAAAAGGTCAGTCAGTCAGTCAGTAACAACGTAGAACTTTGTACGTACGTACATCAGTTCGAGTTGCCATACCATATTAGCACAGAGATACAATCGTTGATTCAAATCCCGTAGTGGTAGAAGTAGTAAGAGTATAAACAGTATTCGGGAAGATTAGGGTTTGAAGATGTTATTCAAAAAGTATAATCCAGTGAAATAAATTTGGAAAGGGGAAAAAAGGTACATGAAGTACTCAAAAGATTAGAATTTGGGAGAACACAAAGAGTGGATGCACCTGCGCTATTACAAACGATTTTGAGCTATGTCATTCAAGGTCTCCAACCATCGGTTGCTATCATCTCGTGGTTCATAACCAGGTAATCTACACCTATCAACATGACTCAGTCCACTTGTCAGTGATTTTATGGATTTGTGCCATGTTTTGGTCTGGCTGCCCCTAGCTTTCTTCTAACCTACTCATACACCATTGAACATCGCACGTCGGGGCAGTTGGTGGTTGGACATACGTAACACGTGTTCAAGCCATCTCAACTGATGAACTTTCACTACGTCATCAATTGATTTGCCATCCTTACCTAGTACCCGTTTCCTAACAACTGCATTACTTACTCGATGGTCTCAGGATATACGAGTAATATTTCGAAGACACCTATGATCAAATACTCGTAATCTATGAATATCCTCTACTCTTACAGGCCATGTTTCACTGCCATAAAGTAGGACGGAACGAACTGCTGCGCAGTAAACCCGTCCTTTGATTGGTAGACGGATATTTCGTCTATGCCATAAATGAGGCAAGTTGGCAAAAGCTAGTCGAGCCTTCTGTATCCGTGCTGAGATTTCGTCACACACCAGACCACAAGGGCTGATGAAACTTCCAAGATAAGTGAAGCGATCGACACGCTCAACTACTTCACTCCCTGTCATTATTTCGGGTGTCGATGTAACCCAATCCTGAAGCAACATTTTGAATTTCGAGGGGGAGAATCGCATGTCGAACATGCTAGCATTGTTGCTTAGAGTGGTCAGAAGACTCTGTATTTTTTCAGCGTCCTCACCAAATAGAACTATGTCATTGGCATATTCTAGGTCAAAAAGTGAATCTCCCGGTAGAAGTTCAACCCGTAGAAATCTAGATGAGGAAAGTGTCATCTCTAAAAGCACGTCAACGACGAAGGACTTCCTATACGATAGGTAATTGAGATACCCGGTTAAATATGAATGATCATTCCGGATTTTGGTTTATTTTAAGATTTTTTAGGAGTTGAATGACAGGAAACACTTGGCAAGAATGTTGATATACTCCTACTCATCTTTCCAGATGAACAGTGAGAGGTATCAATAAATCATATTACAACTATAAATTAATTATTGTTTATGAGGAAGTGAATATAACTGCCGAGTTTTTTTTAAATTATGCTTTGTAATGAAGTGAACCACTAATAGGTATTTTAAACGAAATACTGCTAAACAGTATCTATTTAAAAGTGATAAGTTCGAACCATTATCTAAATATGCATTACGGCACTAAGTCATTTTTATTGTTACTTTAACTGTCCTCACCAAACTGATTTTGATCAGCTTGGAATGAATTTTGCTAGAAAGTAGAGATATTTTTATTTGCATATCATTTGCAATCATAGAAACTTTATAGTTTTTGTTTCAAATATGTGAAGCAGTTACTCAAGGGGCCAAATTTCATAAATTATCTGAGAAGTATTGGACAGTAATTAAAGTCATACAAAACCAATGAAATAATGTTGTACGAACTGTTTGGAAATACTGAATAAGTAGTTGTTCATCAGGTATTGTAACAAATGTCAGAAAACAGTTCATAGATCAATAAAAAATATAGCGTTTAAAGTGAATAGCAATAGACTGATTATTCAATACAAAAGCACTAGGAGGCAATTAAGTTTAAGCGTAAATAAGGCAAATTAATCCAGTGTCTTGTAGTAGGTCAACATTTCTGAATAAACTCTTAAAGACCTTCTGCACAATCAATGTTGGACAGTAACTAGCAGTGGAATCCAGATGGCTCGTTTCGTTCAATTTAGGACATATTGGCTGGACTTTTCTGCATCTCATGGTTTATATTCGACTGAAACTCAGAATATTGCACTATTGACGCTCAAAGAATTATCTACTGAGCTTCTGAGTTCAAATACCGACTAGCTTGTGCAATGATTCCGCATTTCACTAAAATGTTTAGCTAAATGGTAATATCGAGTCAATCTACTGAGGATGCATATATGTTAATAGATGCTGATCAGTTCTATGTACTAACATCAACAATGGGAGATAACAAAGTCTTACAAGTAAAATGAATTTTGTATCATTGAATTCCCATTTATATCGCTTCTTTTACTCCTTTTATTGGATATTTGTCTATACTTATCAACGTGTCTTTATGGATTTCAGAGTTTGAAACACTTACACAGTTGTTCAGTGGTTTGATGTTCTGAAAGACGATTTAAAGATAATTCTAAATTTAACTAGAATTAAAACACAATTCAGTAATAAAATAACTTACATTTATTGCACTCAATCTTATCAAACCTAATGGTTTATTATTGTTACTATTTTCTTCATTTATTGAATAGCCGTTATTACTATTAGTGATATTGTTAGATGTAAAAGATGAACTAATCGGTGGAATAATGAATTTAATCGGTTCTTCAATGGAATAATCCAGTTTAGTTGGTATTATGGATGACATTTGTGTGAGACGTTGCCGTGCCAATTCACATAATGGACCAAAAATTACAACTGGCCGAGGGAAAGGAAATTTATCCAGTTGTATAACTCTTTCATATGGTGGGGGAGAAAATGATTCGTGAGGATTCTCCTAATAATATAAAAAAATTGTCAACACTGTAACGATGTGGTGCATTTGCCAAATCTGTGACTAACCATGTCTAACTTTTTATGATCAATAGCAAACATCGAAACGAACATACAGTAACCTTTCTTAGTTCCGAATATTTCATAGAATACTTTAACAAAGAGTTTCAGATTATTTCTCTTCTACTTATCAGACGCTATTGAGATTCACTCAAAGAAACATAATTTGTGAATTCAAAATACGTTTATTCAGCTTTTTTATACACCTTTGCCTGTAACAGAGTCAAACCACTCCTAACCAAGTTGGCTACGTCAAAAGATGTCATAAACCACAATCACTAACCCACTTTTAAACCTATCTTTGACCTCTAGATTTCTAGTTGCAAATTTGTAGTTTGTAATTCACATGGTGTTACTGTCGTGAACAAGAACACCAGTGGGGACAATCGAATGTATTTGACACAAAATTACAGGACTTGTTAGTATAATCTAACAATCATATAGTAAATGCTTAATTTGCAAAATGTCCATCAATTGCCTCAGAATGACTCAGACTTCATTGTTCTTACATTTACACACAAATCACATTCTGTTTCGATTCTTTACTGTTCGATCCTCTTGTCTCTCTGCTGCCAGACATTCTGTTCACGACTAACATCATATACTACTTATGTCGATATAAGTAGCACACACCACATTACTACTATTATTACAAAAATCCGAGATAGCATAACTTCTATTTCGTGTTATATTAAAATATTTTTTACTATACAGATTATAACTCACCACCTTATAGCTTTTTTCACCACTTGTACTATGAACTGTAAGTTTTATAAATATTACGTAGACAACTAACTTATTGTTAAAAACACACATCGGTTGATGGGGACATTGGATGACATAGCTCGGATTTATTCAGTGACCCAAATTCATACACTTTATCTTACGCTGAATATTAAGCTCTAGTTTTCCCCTATACAGACATTTTTGCTAAACGTTTTTGGACCATATTCTTAACATTTAGTCATTCTTATTTTTCCTAAGGTATTTAGGTTTTCTTCACTATTCATCTTATTATTTCCATTTGATTTTGCTAATGTGGTATGACAACTTGGGTCAAACCACATATGTGTCATGATCTAAGCTGATGATGATTGGCTGACCTGTTTTATAACCCTTTTACGCTGGAATGAGTTTGTACTGCAGAGGAACCTTTAGTGGAGACACTCAAATAAAATCATACTTCGTTTATTACGGCTGTTTATATTTTCCTCGAAGATTTGAAGGCAAATTATCCCTAACTAAACTAGAAACTTTGAACTTGCAAATCTCAGCGACTAACAACAAAAATGGATTATAGTGAAATGGCCTAATATTTCATGATTCGTAGAAGTAATCAAAATAACAATATTTAATGGTGAAAATCATCGACATATTAATCGAGTCCATGAAACTACTTATGTGAGTTGATTTGTCTAGATTTACAATCATTTTATTTTATTGACATATTTGGGATTATATTTTTTAGTGGATATAATTAATATGGGAGATTTACGTACACCAGACATGTAGAGGAAGAAATGAAATCCATTTGTTAAAACGTATAGCAAATAGAAGTACTGCGTAGTTGTTCAATTGTAATAGTATCAGATATTTTATTTGTTTGTTTATTTGAACACATAAATATTGGTACAAGAGGGCACCAAATATATATACGCCACATTTTGTGTGAGGGCTGTGATACTGCCCGGGTGTCCAAACCGAAGCAAGTGGTTTTCTTAGGGGACCACACCCCAAGCCTTTGACCTAAAGGTCTAACCCACAAGGCAGTGGAGCATCGTGGGGAGATGCAGTCCCATGGTAGCCGGTGACCAAAAATTGGTTCATACGACATTTGTTCCCTCAGGATACTGGAGCCCATGCGCAACATTGATTTGGTTTGGGATCCGGTTAAAGCGCCGAACATTCGCTTTTCATCCTCTCATTTTCGTAAACAACACCCCAGCCACGAGAAGGCAGTGAGTAGGACTTCCCTGGCAGAGACTATGTACGCGTGGCCGTATGAGAGCATTTCGAGAGGGAGGGCAGGCCCATCCCACTCTCGGCCATACCAGGGCATATATGAAGTATATTTATTCTAAAATGTAACTCACTTCATTATGAGATTGTTTTACGGTAACAACTAAATGATTATAATCGTATCGCAGTCAAATATTTTGACATTATCATTCAGTGCGTATTCTTACGTTTTAATATAGCTTTAGTCAAAAAGGGGCTTCAAATAAAATTTAATTCAAATTAATAATCATATTTGTTAAATCAATCAAGTTATTTTAATCGCAATTACCTGAAACTGATTAGTTGAAATAAAACGTTGCGCTCTTTGTTCGTTTGGTATAAGACCAATACTACTGGTATTCGGATAAACCTTTGTTGCCTATAAAATTTGTTTTTAAAGATGAAATTTCAATATCAATAGGACAGGTTAATATTTTCTTTCAAAACAACACTATAAAAGAAATGTTTAGATAATATATATCATTCATACGTGATCTGTCTAATAAATAAACGAACCGAGATACTAAAGTTGTCAGCTATGAACATTTGTTGGGCTCCTGAGTCAAAGTGGACATCAAGGTTGTTATGTCTTTTATGTCTTCGAACCCCCGATATCTGGAAGATTCCTGACTTAACGGGCTAAAGACAATCGTCTGTTAACAGGAGTCCTCAGGAAGAATGACACCAACAAAATCTATCCTGTTTCTCAGGTTCGTTCTGGTGACATAAGATCACAAAAATCACTGAATGCATAACAAAATATAGAAATGTAAGATAATAAAACTTAAATTCGGTTGAATGAGTTTGAGTCTTCTCGTTGTTAGTGTCGAAGACTGCAATAAATCAGTTTCCTTTGTATATGTGCATCCTGACCTCACTGCTTCTATATTGCCAACAGTCACAAGCACCTATATGCACAGACAGATAGTGGTTAGCAGTAGCTATCAAGACTTGGCAGCTAAGTGAATAACGCAAAAGGCACTAGGTTATAGTCCTGAAGTGGACATTAACGTCAGGATATAGGGGCATTCAGTTGATCAACCCCAGACAAGACGAAAAGCGTGTCCTGGATTCCAGTACTAGACACTATCCATCTCTGCCTGAAGATTAAATTGTTATAAAACAAGTCAATGTTCAACTTACCAGCCACGTTCCAAGTGCATTATCCAATAGGGTATCATGAACATGAAATATATCCCCTTTTACTATAAAAAGACCAGAATATTTAACAGATGACAGTAGTGCAGACGAACCAGAAATATATTGATTCATATTAAAATAAGCTCTTACATAGAAGCTTTCATGAGGAATTTCGCTTTTAAGCATCTTATGATATGACGACGGATCACGGAGTAGTTCAAGTATCATTTTGTTCTCACTAGCCATAAGAGCAAGAAATACTTCCTCTTTAGTCCATCCTTTTAGATCTGTACCATTTAACTGAAAAAGGTGAAAATAAAATACAATAATAGAACATATAGATATTTTGTTTAGAAAAAGAGTATTTGAATTTATTTTGTTGGTAGTAGATAATTTTACTGGAGTGTTCTCTGAGTTAGATAGTTTATTTGTGAAGCTTTCATAATCATTCCGGACAATAGAATCAGTGTCAATGTTTAGATAAAGTAAGAGAATTCATCTGTGAGGAAGACATTAAGTGAGATTTTCAGACATTCTTGGACGTAAGGAATTTAACTTGTAAAATGCAAACGGCGAGTGCAAATTCGGCATTTAATATTACATTTAAATAGTATTAAAAAATAAACTGAGAAATATATGTTGCAGTCAAGTTTATACATACGGGATACTATGAAGATGTATTTCTTTGGTATAATTATATTGTGAGGAATTTTGTTAACACATTGGAAATAGTTTACAATATTTGTATAAATCAGCACGAATAGAACGTCCAGTACCAGTAAATATAAAAAAAACATTTTTGTACAATTTACACCTGACTTATAGGTTGAATTGGAATTTAGGATGAGTAGTTAGTCTTATTTGAAACCACCTAACTGGATGTATATGACTCCCATGGTTTAAATTTTCTACACTGCATAATTATCGTATTGAAGAATTGAGTGCTCAATAGAACAGTGAAAGTTTGTGAATGAAGCTAACCTTTATCATGTATCAATGTGTGTATTTCTTCTTTATCAATATATCATGCTGTTGGTATATGGGCTCCTTGAGAGACTGAACAAATTCAGTCTTGAATACCAATATCGCATAAATACAAACACATTAAACTAATAATAAATATCATACAATTTGAGCAATTCGATATCCGTCATGACTCAAAAGTCTTTAGAATAACGCTCTAATGTTTGCAACGATGTGCACTGCATTTAGGCTTCACTGTCAAAATCAACTTTTGGGAGTAATTAAATTTAATGGATGTGTTTTAAGTCGAAAGAAGCGTGAATTCTGTACTATAGATGGTAATCGCCATCCAAAGCATAATCAATGTTATTCTATTTTGTTGGAAGTATTTTGAACTAATAAGTAGTCTAATCTTTTTGATGAGACAATAATATATGGACGAATCAGTGAAATTAAGGATAAAATGCCTTCGATTTTGGCGCAAGATGGATTCATCGATGTAGTGAAATAGCATTTCGGCTGATGTCAGTTCGTGATGAAAACCCTTACTCTAATTCCTAACCTTAAATTCTTACTCTAAATCCTAATCCCAATTCTTTATACTAATTTATAACTCTTTTGAATTCAGTAAGTGAGCCGTCTCAAGATCACTTCAGCATAGCTCATAGGTCGTCCATAAATTATAGTCTCATCATATTTTTTTTTACAAAACTTAGCTTACTTTTACTAGTTTGTCACCCTCATTAATTCCTGCTTGGTCAGCTATAGAATCAGGAATCACTTTGCTTACATACACTCCTTTTGTATTACCTCCATACAGTATCAAGCCAATATCACATTTACCCTGGTTTAGTTGAAGTGTTACTTTTATATTTTTAGGTGAGTTAAACATATTCAACAGTTGTTCTTTGTCTTCTTTCAAGAAATTTGAACAATGCTGACCATTTAATTCTCGTGAATGGATATTTGACATATTATGTGGTTTTATATTTGGATTTGATTCTAAAAGTTCATTCTTTTTTATGTTGGATACATTATGTTGTATACAGTTGTGTTGAATTGGATTTTTACAAATATTGGAAGTATTCATTTGAGATTGCATCCAATTGTTAGAATTTTTGACAAATGGATTCTCAATGTTACTATTGTGAACTATTAATGGGTATGATGAAAATATGTACAAACAACAATGAACAGTATAAATATTCGTATAGAAAAATATAGTGAATATGCTCATATTCCATTAAAAAATTAATAAAAATAACATTACATGAACAGATTCAACAGGTTATTTCATGAATCCAACTCATTACTTCAGTTGATTGAACTTATGAAATTCAGTTCTGTAGGTTAGCCTAAAAGCATTCACTTTCACTTAGTCATCCAAAGTTGATGAAATAAATCAATACTAATAAGTTATCTTCAAAACAAATAAAGTGTTTTAGATGAAATAATATATTTTTTTCTTGAAATAACCGGCCTTTCAAACTACCTACTTTACTAATTTTTTGAGAATAATTGAGTGATGTTATTAATCTTTAGACAAAACGTACATTCCAAAGGAAAAGTATATGAGTTGTATTTAACTGAGCTGTTCTAGGTTATCTGTAGATTAAGCTGATCTCTATAGAATTCAATCAAACTCTAATAGTCAGCCCACTAGTAACTTACCCATTGTATTCGGCGGCCTGCTTGATCATCTGGGCTACCTGTTCCTGCCATCTAGATATTTCAACAAGTTATCTATCTTTGTTTTAATATATCATTATGTTTATTAATCGCACAACCTATTCTGCTGCGTTTCTGAAAAGTGTACAACCTTTCGTTGTCAAAGTTACAAAAAACTCAATAAGAGACAATGTGGTTGCTGGCAATATACAACGGAAAGAATGCACATTATTCAGATGTTCATTTAGTGAACTGCTAACATCTAACTGGCGATCACTCAATATTTATCGCCAGGACCGACGAAGAAGAAAGAAACGGAAACTTGTTGAAATACTTTACGCTGAGAATTCTATGTTGTACCAAAAATATAATATTGAATAAAGCTGATAATAATAATAATAATAAATAAATAAATATTCTTGAAGTCCTTGTGAGAATTCGTGACTGGTGAAGTTTGGATATATTACAAGTGAAACGGTTGTCACTAATTGTGCTGAACGATCGTTGAGCTCGATGCTTACGATCTGAAGGACTTGGTCTATTCAAATCACTGTTAATTTTAACACGTAAAAGAACAAGATGAAGTATTTATTTCTTATCGTTGATTTTGAATTTGAATTAGAATTGAATAGAAATCAGACATAGGAGACTTTATTTTCCGTTGAATTATTTGGGAACCTTTGATATTATATGAGGTAACGGAAAATAATTCGGGAATTTACTGACATTTGTCTCAGTTTAGTAGCGCACCACAGTGTTCACCATCTGATCAAGTACTTGTTCATAAAACCCATGGATCAAATAGGATAAGCATCTTTTTAATCCCCAAAAGAACCCTTCTTGTCTAGCTCTGTATTAACTATATATTACAAACAATAAATCTATGTGTAGAGTACACTTTACTTACTGCTTAAGGAAATAAAAGAAAATTCCAATGTATCTTCAAAGTTAGGTTTAAAACAGTTACGATTTGTAAGCTAACTGTTAATAATCTGAATGGTTTTAGTATCCTAAAAATTGATAGATATATCTCTTATTCAGTTGTTTAAAATATGCAAAGAAATCTAGTAATTTACTATCATGGTACAATTATTAAACTGTGATCACTTAATGTTTATATGTAGCGGGAAAATTTCATAGCTTCTATTTACCTTCACACATACTTTGACAGCCTTCACAATTTTCATAAGTGTGATATCCACTCTGATATGCTTGTTCAAAATGCATTGTCCTTATTTGTTCGTTCGAAGATTTATTAGAATGCATCGGTTGTGATACTTGATACTGTCTTTTCTCATTTCCAAGCTGGTGAGTTAACAAACTAGAAAGATTGGCTGGAACACTTGATGAATTTACTAAAGGTGTTGTACCAAAATTATCATAAACATGATTTTGTTTCGTTAAAGTATCCCTGGCTACCAAAAGCACGGTTTCTTGACGACGTAACATGTTCGCGGTATCAATGAGACTTAAATGAGCAGTGTTTATTCCATTTAGTCTTATAATACGATCACCGGATTTGAGACCAGCCTGTTCCCCCAAACTATTTTCATCAACAGAAGCCACCGTCAAACGACTCAAAAGTTCTACACCCAAACCTATTATTTGAACATTAAAGGTGCATGATATGTAGTAACCATATAAAACTACAACAGGATAAAAAAACATGATACATGAACTTTTATGTTAACCGGTAAGCAGTTGTCTCTGAAGTGAAGGAATTGCAATTCCAAGGTGTTTTGAAAACTAGTTTGGTGGATGTAACTTATAATAACAATGTCAAATAGTTAGACCAATAGATAAAATACTTAGTACCGTAATATTATTCACCAATCAATATTAATAACTTTGTTTTTCTCAGCTTGGCAATATAGTTTACTAAACCTTTTAAGTGATACTAAACTAAATGACTTCCTATACCTGTCTCTAGATATAAGCTGGGACCAAAAATTATCTTTTTTATGATAGAATACAGATCCAAAGTTAATTTTCAGCAACAAATGAAATAAACTAGGGTCACTATGCTTCTGATTTTCAGGTTAAATTTATTCTTGATTTAAATAACCTTCAAAATATACATGACCTCATAACCACTTGAGTACATCATGTGATTAAGTATTAAAATGTAAAGATATATGGTTCTGATAACACTTTCATCAATATGTTTCCTATCTGAATCGCCGAATGTTACCTTTATTAATTCTGATGATGAGTTGCTGCAGTTCTAAATGTTCAGGAAAAATTCACACAACAGTAAACAAGTGGTGCACATTTTAGCACACTGGTTAGTTTAAAAGGTAAGCGATGGCAAATCTATCAACTCACTTTGACAGAGCGTGACTCAATATTTATAGCAAGACAAAAATAAGCTAAATACATGTGATAAATTAGACAAGCGATGGACACATACGCACATATAAAGGCAGTCAAGGTTAACAAGCGAATAATTGGCAAGATCGAAATGCAAATCAAAAATAATAAATAGTACTGACCATTACAGGTTCTTTAGTTAAATGTTGATGGGTGACAAAACCAAGCTTTTTCACAACTACTACACAAACACGAAAGTTAATCTTCCAAACAATTTCTCAGTTATGGTATTCACAAGTCCTCCTTAGTAATATTATCTATATATAAGTATTAAATTTAAGCTACATATAACCACAAGTCTAGGTTAACATTACTATGTTACTCTGCGATAAAAATGGGGAACTAATCGTTTAAAATAAGTGAATACACATTGTACGTATGAGAGAATAATTCCTTCAATAATTTTAAGATCGATAAATTAAACACTATTTCGTTTACTTTGAAGGGAATTTTACATACTTATCAGGAACTCATAGCTAATTTAGAGATAACTTTTGACATAAAAACTCACCGATAATATTATTTAAAGCCTGGTTTGTGGCTAAGATTTATAATGTATAGTGAGAAACTTGAAGATCCTGCTCTAAGTCTCATTAGGGATAATGGTTGGTTACAAATCATGATACAAAAAGGCAATTCTACGTTGAAAATCCAGGCAAATTATGACTATTATGGGATTATACAAGTACAATCCATTTTTATTGAGTCCGACTATAAGTAACAAGTTTGAACCTATTATTTATCATCGGGTTTAGTCCCTAATTTTATGCTAACTGTTCTTTGGATATTATAAATAACATCTGTCAGGTTCTCTGAGTTCTTTGTAGATTTTTGACTCATTAAAATCTAGTTTTTGAACGGTTAAATATTTGTACTATGAAAAGGTCTTACTATATTAAAATTAAAAATAAACAATATACTTTCAGCCGCGTTCCTTCTTTTGAGATGTATTTCTATCAGTCTTGGACAGTTTTCGTAGGAAGTAGAATTGGGATTCCATAAAGCGGTATCGCTGCAATATTTCATCGGCTGCATACAGTGATTTTGATAGTTTTGCAAACATTCACAGTTACTGTAAGGTTCTCTCAAAGATGGAAATTTTCTGATAAAAATAAAAGTAAAATTTGTGCTTAAAATTAACACGCATGAGCTATGGGCATGTACAGTTTAATACAAATGTGTTGAATTAAGTTACCTGAGAGCTGTGATTTCCAGTCACTTATTTTTGCCGCTTTATACTACCTTTCAATAACATATTTATATCTTATACCTGAATAGCAAACGGTGTTATCATATTAAGAATAACGTCTTTCTAAATTTATCAAGCCATTTTGAGATCATTGCTGAATAAGAATTTTTTAATGTAACCTTCTACTTATATAACCACCTTACAAAATCTAACCTGTCATTACTAAAGAAACAATTTACATTGAGAAATAAACTGTCGAGTGTATAAATACTTTGAGCATCTTGGAATGATCATTCAGCTTGGTAATTTAGTGATAAGTTTGGCCTGTTCATTCTTATAATTTAGGTCTGATAAAATGTTTAGTTTCTCATAAATAAAAACAGCTATCCTGGTTGGATGATAAATTACTTTTCATGATGCTCAGCAACACAAAAACATATCAAAAGAATAGAACTTCATGAAAATGCGATTTTTCAGACAATTTACATCAGCAACCAGGCAAGAGTTGAGTGCTACTTTTTTCATGTGTTCCAAGATACTTTGACCCCGTGTGTAAAAAATCATATGTTTAACTTTTACAACTGTTGCTGAACGACATCCAACGATATTTCAGTTGTCGTTTGTAGACAAAAGAAAGATTTTGTTTGATTTCTAAAGTTTGTAGAATGACGGTTTTTTATCACATTTCTATACTAAACCAAAGTGACCACTCATTCGAAATCAAATTTTATGTCACTTAATAATAATGAAGAATATAGACACTGTGATTTGATAATAAGCTACCTAATCTATAGCCTTTTCTCCCATTTCTGCGCTATTTTGCTTGTAGAATTCTTCGGTCAATGTATACGCATAAACATATAGTTGGCTAGCAAATCAACAATTTTAAAACTGTCTCTGATGTTTATTTCATCGGATAAATAAAGTAAAAACAGGTCAGGAATCAAAATATTTGAATTTTAAGAAACATTACAATACTACAATTTATGTCGTCAAGTTGAATCTACATAAAAATCAAAAGACTGTTATAAAAACATTTTTGAGAGAATTTTACCACTTGAATGGAAGCAATTTCACAACTACAGGCACCAGAAATATTTCAGTCAGGGTAGAAGCATTTGTATTTCTGTTAGGTTTTTTTGTACGCATGAATCAAGTAGCCAGTAAATCTAAATTAGTATTCATCATATTTTAAGTTCAAATCCTATTCTAAAACTTACAGGTTAGTTAACTGGTGACTCATTCATATGGTTTTAGTCTCTGAACGATGGTACCATTGTCTCAAATGCTGTTCAGCTTTATACTATGACCCACGACTTCACCTATTTAGGATTATTTGTCTATGTAACTTGATTATAAAGATCTTTGTGAAATATGTCAATCTAGCACGAAAAGTATGTGGAATTTAGTAGCTGAGTCCAATTAAGTGAGAATAAAAAACTAATTGACAATATTGTCAAATGTCAGATGAATATACACAAGGAATGCAATTGCTAGTGAATATATGAAATTCAACGAGCACTAATAAAAATATCACCGAATATCAATGAAAGCAACATGAATTCTAAACGTAAAATACAAAGATCCCCTACGGTATCGAGAACGATTTTCCTACAAACACATAATTAGAAAGAAATACAGCGTCAAAAGACATGTAAAGACAAACTACCAAGATATTTTTAGAAGTCCCTTCATTCAGTCGAGCTACGGATCGTCATCTTCAGTTTACCGCCGATTCGAAGGTATACCAAAGATAAATTCTCGTTTTTGGTTGCCTCAATGTGTACCTATCAAATCACTCTTTCTAGTAGAATAAGCTATATTGACTAGAATTTTATAGTAGAAATGTATCTACTTCATAGTTTTAAACATTCCTGACTTCGCATTGATAAATCCAGTGATAAGTAAGAAAGAAGATCTAGAAACGTTAGTTTGGGGATAAATAAAAGTTCTAAATCCGACAACTCATGAAAAAACAATACTATTTGATCATTGTAAAAAGTAAACATACGCTACTTGGACACGTTTAGAGTTGTAGCTCGGTTTCAGTTTTAGCATGTCTAGCTTGACACCATTACTGAATATTATGTGCGTACTCTAATTGGGATTTTACCTGAAATGTTCCTGCAGCTATTTTTATCCAGTGGAATAGACTCAACGTTAGTTGTATTTTTATCTAAGAACAGAGCCATTTGATCAAATTAAAGATATTCTTTTACCGCAAATGTCCTATTTAATACAAAATGCAACGATTCCATACATAATTCAGTGACAACTGTTACGCAAGGTTGAATATGTATTTGTTTAGCGAGCCTTTAATGAGACTTAAGTTCCAAAACACTGCAGCGGTAAATACTATTACCATCATAGACAGGTGAGTTCAATGGTGAAAATTATATTTGTAATTTTGCTTCGAATAAATACATTCAGTTCATACCTACGATCAGAATGGATAGACTGCAGCCAATAAACTTTGCTTAGGTGAAGACTAATCCCTAACAGTAAACTAGAGGTAGCTTGGTTAAATTCACTTCTATCACACACGTAGGATATCTTTAAGCCATAGATTTTGAGCAGGAAAACCACATATTTCGGTTCAGTGAATGATAAGTTGTGTTGATCAAGTAGCATGGTTTGAATAAGAGACGAGCATTAAAATGCAATGTGAAGAACCTTATGGCCTCATAAAAACGATTTTTTCGGGATACGCTGCGAAAGTCGTTTAGACTGATGACCATATTTGATCACGAAGTAATAACTGAAGCAACTATAATTTGAATATCTTACGATTGTTGCATAATGCAGTCTTTTTCTGAAGCAAGTGGCAAATTGTGGTAGTTGACCTGTCCTTTGCGACTTAACAGCTTCAACTCAGCTTCATCACCGCATTCACGCAGAATCTGGATGGCTTCAGAATATCTCAGGCAATCCAAATTTATTCCATTAACACTAACCAGTTCATCGTTTTTGCTAAACGTACATTAGAAAACGTGTTCAACAGCATACCTGACCTTTTCATAGGCTGGGCCGTTTGTTATAACGTTTGAAACTATGAATTTTGTTTTTGAGTTCCTAGAAGATCGTACACCAGAAATGCCTAAACCAAGACCATGAGTAGGTGATCTCATGATCGTTACTGAATAATGTATTGGATGGAATATCATCCTGCTTTGTTGAAGACTGGTTTCCTTCGTAGGATGGGCATATAAGGCTTTTTACTTGTAATGAAATAAAGCAGACAGATCATATATGCTAACAACTAACAAACGTCAAAGTAGTGCCGTGCATAAATGACCTAGGAAGTGATAAATTTTAACATTTGCTTGATTGGAGATAAAACGAGGCTACAGAAATGCGAAAAACCTTCTTGAGACCTTAAGCCTGTTCAAAAAGGCATCTTAATACCAATAATTACTATGAAACTATTTAACCAGTCTGAACATTTTACTGACGTCTTAGGTGAAAGCCCACTAGGGTTATTTTACCGTTTCTTGAATTAAGATATGCACTGTCTTCAGTCTTCAGTAATAAGGATGGTAGAATAATGAACCTATTTTAATCCTGACGGATTGCCTTCGAGTGAAGGCACAGCTTCTTCTTAAAAATATTCACTGATTGCGCTGATACCACTTTCGGGTAAGGTGTCCCAGTCATTGGCTACTTGATGAACAGAACGGGACCCCACTTTAAGTTTATTAGATCGTGACTTGTGAACCTTTTTCCTATGACCTCGGAGATTATTAATGCTGGAAGGAGCAAAACGATAAGACACATTAACACCCAAATCATAATTAAATATACGAAATGCAAGTATAAGGTCACCTCGCGTCCTACTATACGACAAGGGGAAAAGGTTTGGGCGTTTTAAGCACTCATTGTAAGGGAGTTTAGAAAGACCTTTCATTAATTTTTTCCCACATGCTGAACACGCTCGAGTGGGTTAATATACTTTATCAGACACGGGCTAGGTGTTTGGATACAGTACTCTAAGTGTGGTCTTACATAGGTGTGATATAAAATTCGAAACATTTCCTCGTCAAAGCATTTGAATGCTAGGCAAAGTGACTATACCCACGGAAACCTTTGACAGCAGCTGCGTTGCAGTGCGTAGTTGTTTTCAAGTCAAGACTTATTATTCCTCTTAAGTCGATATGTTCTTGAACGCGTGGAAGAGATGTGCCATCAATAGTATAATTGTAAATATTATCGCGTCCGATGTGCATGAGCACACTCTTCCTAGAATTAACTAAGCCTCAGCCTCTAGCCCATCCAACTAGTTGATCGAAGTCAGCTTGGAGATCCAAATGATCAGCCTCACTTCTTATTGTTCTCAAGATTTTTACATCATCCTCAAACAATAATGTCGACGACTTAAGCAACAGTGGTAATTCATTGACGCAAAGAAGAAAAAGTAGAGGGCCTAAGATGTTACCTTGGGGCACACCACTTTTCGCTGGCTTCCATTTGGATCGCATTCCATTGACCCTCACTCTCTTTCTGTGGTCGCATAAGAAGTTTACTATCCATTGATGTACAGCACCTATTATTGCAAAACTCAAGAGCTTCTGTATAAGACCTAAGTGTGAAAACTTGTCAAATGCTTTGCTAAAACCTGTGAGTAGCACATCGACAGGCAAGCCGTTATCTATGGCTGCAGTCCAATCCTCTCTCTCAATGAGTAAGTTATTCAGGCATGGACGCTTGTTACGAAACCCATGTTGCTCGGGAGTCAACAGATTGTGCGAATTTATGTGACTTAGTAACTTAACCCGAGTTATCTTTTCAAGAAACTTGACGACCATGCCAGTTAGACTGACAGGCCGGTATTTAGATACGATCTGCATCTAACCATCCTTAAATATAGGACTGACTACAGCGTCTTTCCAAACTCTAGGGAGTTGGGCGGGTGAAAAGATCAGTTGAATAGCGCCGCGAGCGGCCTTGAAATAATGTCCGCGAGAAATGACAGAAATGACGTAACCCGTCACGGCCAGATATCTTACAAGGTTCGAGGTTAGTTAGACTCCGTCAAAATAATTTGAAAATGTCTCAGCTTTTGCCTAATCTGATTTAGATACTTAATCTGAATTTTCGTGTAACAGTTGTGAGGTAATACCATCACTACGTTTTGTTAGCCGTTTAACATACGAAAACAATAGTTTCGAACAAGTACGGTTACCATATGCCAACTTTCGTTTGAAAGTAGTGCGGGATTTAGCTATGGCCTTTTATATATGTTCTGGATTCTTTATATTCACACTTAAATTATGCGTGTACTGTTGACAAGAATAAGTCCCAGAAGTGCTTCCTACACTTCAACAGCTCACCGGTTTGCTTATTAATCCATGGTGTGCAGTGTGATAATTTACGTGTTGACCATGGGATTAACGATGATATTACGGACTCGAATGAAGCCTCAAAAATTACTCCACTCGTCCACGATCGATCGATCCACGTTAACCGACCAGTCAGCCGACATAGCACAGTCTCTGATTGCCGGAATATTAGCTCGCCATATGTTGTGATGGGGTGGAGCAAATGCCAATTGTGAACCATGTGTGCCAAACTTAACGTAAAGTACAACGTGATCACTATTCACCTGTGAGGGAAGGTGCTGAATGTCGGTGACATTCTTACAGTGGTATGTCATTTTTCAAGTCAAAATGTATCGGTTTTGCGATGCATTGAACAAGTGCACACTGAATAATGGTTGAGAGAAGGTCGCTGTGGAAAACGTCACCTGGAGCTGTAAGCTCTATCCAGTTGATATGCGGCGCTATGAAGTCTCCAATGATGAGACAACATTCTGCCTTACTTCAAGAACAGATGTGTCCAAAGATAAAGTTGTAAGCAAGACAACACGGACTACAGTACATTCCTCCTATAGTCACTAACCCGTTTCTGGACTTAACTGTGCGACATGCTATCTCACATGTACCACTAACATGCGCCTCCAATATGACTGATTGTATACGAAAGTGATCCCTGACGTATAATATTATGCCTCCTCCCTTGCGACCTAGAACTCTATCAATTCAAATAGAGATATAGCCTGCAATGTTTGAAGAAAAGTTTATATCTACGTAGACTTACCTAACAGGTAATCAAAGCAGACAACCCACATCATATGTTTGTAGTCAGCTTTAAAAGCAATATCAGAAAACCTTAAACTAGGAGATATAGTCAGTTCAGTTACCAAGTTTCCGTCGTTCAGTCGTTCAGCTTTATCAGTTAGAAATGCCACAGCCATTTTAAGTATGACAACGCTTTGATCCGTAACACCTTTATAATTGAAGGATGTGATTTTGCTTCGAATAAATACATTCAGTTCATACCTACGATCAGAATGGATAGACTGCAGCCAATAAACTTTGCTTAGGTGAAGACTAATCCCTAACAGTAAACTAGAGGTAGCTTGGTTAAATTCACTTCTATCACACACGTAGGATATCTTTAAGCCATAGATTTTGAGCAGGAAAACCACATATTTCGGTTCAGTGAATGATAAGTTGTGTTGATCAAGTAGCATGGTTTGAATAAGAGACGAGCATTAAAATGCAATGTGAAGAACCTTATGGCCTCATAAAAACGATTTTTTCGGGATACGCTGCGAAAGTCGTTTAGACTGATGACCATATTTGATCACGAAGTAATAACTGAAGCAACTATAATTTGAATATCTTACGTTTGTTGCATAATGCAGTCTTTTTCTGAAGTAAGTAGGAATCGCGTGGCTAACCAACGTACAACAATCTCATACTTCGTTATTTTCTTTCTATATCTCTGTCCTGTGTTTACTTTGGTGACCGTACGACACGAACGACGTTATCACAGTAATGTATTCGTAGGTTGGGTTCAGGGAACAAAATGTGGTCGCCATGGCTCGGACTAATCAATGACGTTCGATTAGTTGATGCACATAGGATATTCTTGACTTTGACAGGGATCGGTAAATTGCCCGATTTTCGATTACCTGACTGACGGATGATTAGGTAAGGTCCATGACATTTCTCTGGGCCCACATTCTGTAACCAGTAACTGAAACGTTCGGCTTGGTATACTCAATAACGGTATTTTATCAAAGCCATTTATCACAGAATCAAAGCAAAATTGTGAATTTTAGATATCATCTTCATAGTCAGAGATCGTGCCAAAGTCTTAATCATTCATAAAAAGCAAAATTAGCATACTCTTTGAGGATTAGTTGTTTCCGAATTTTTATATATTATATGTTGCTTCCATTCAAGGCCAGCTACCTAAGAAGGGATCCTCATGAGTTTGAAAAAACACAAAATGCTTACACCTTGCACTTTTTTGTCACATCCAGTTATGTGGCTTGTCTATCGTCACACGTAGTGTAAACATTTTCCTCGAAAAATCTCAATATGAAAAAACACAGGGATCAGTGAATGTTGTATAAGCTCTCATAGTAATACTGAGTGTTAATTTGTTTGAACGTTCCAATTGGTGATTGTAATTCTTGCCACTGACTTAAGAGAGGTTAGTTTGTTTCAAAAGAGGTTGGTTCATTGTTATCTATGTCGGAAGTCTAGTCGTTTGTGTTAAGTGGTAATTACTAGCCTGTATAATTTGCACGTCCTATAAATTGTTGTAATAAGATTGACAGAATGCTATTTCACAAACTAAACACAACGTAAGTGTTTCCAAAAACCCTAGGAATAAATCATTATTCGTTGCTAATATGTCTGCAACAAATCACATCTGAGATTCCTCATGTAGTTACGGTCTGTCAGTGTTAGCGAGATGGATCCTCGACGGGAATCTAATTCGCGTCCAAATACAATACATTCTCGGAGAAAAAAGGATTCTTAACATAGGTTACTAAAAAAAGTATTTGGGTATTCTAATACCAAAAGTAATGTCCTTCAGTGGGTTTCACTGGAATTAGACGGTTCTGTGTAAAAGTCTCATTGTGACCATATCAATTAGTAAATTCTGGGGTCTATGTTGGACTAACTAGTTGGACTCAATTGTGTGATCAGATTTAATTACCTATAGTTTCACAAATTGGCACAAGTCTTTGTTCACCTCTGTGTTTATGCCTCCAGCTGGTTATTCTTCCTGACCTCTTTGTTTTTGAACATGTAGTGAAATGTTGAAAACGTCTGACATAATTGGAGCTAACAAATGTATGAAAGACTAGGTTATCAGGCGTCCGTTCATTGGTTCGGAAGGTTTTTCGTCAACTTTTATCAGTTGTTTGTACTAAGGGCTAGGTAAACAATATTAGTTGGTACTCAGTGGCCATTCAGTGTTCAAAAGCTGATTTGG